CAAACTTACTAAAACAATCAATTATAGTTAGAAGATATCTATAACCTTTATTTTCTTCTTCGTAGGGAATCATTTCTACAAGATCTGATTGCCATTGATCGTCTATTCCACTGACGTAAACTCTTTGACTCTTGAAGTTCTTACGAGCTGGCTTATGAAGAGTGTAAACATCTTGTTCATTCAGGAACTCTTTAACCTTTTTCTGTGACACCTTTGCTACTCTTGATAGTTCATTGATACCGCAGAAACCTGTTTTAGGAGAATAATAAGCTTTTTCTAAAAGATCTCTTTCATCTTCGGAACTTGTGGGTTGTCTAAGAATTTTTAGATTTTTTTCACTAATTTCAACCTCCTTGATATCTTCTAATCCAGAACCTCCTGTGATTGTTGGAATTAGCTTACACTTCATTGTTTTACAATCTTGGCATAACCCTTTTTATCATAGAACGTTTTCGAGCTTGTTTCAACATTAAATATGTCAGTAGTATCAGTATATTTTTTTTACATTTGAAACAGTATACTAATTCCATAATTTAGAAATTAAAAATTTTTTTGGCTACAAATATCTTATTTGATTTTTGTGAAATGGGGGACGTTCAGTGAAAAATGGATGCCTTCACTAGAAAGTGAATTCACTTTCACCTAGCCATGAACCCCAAACATGGCTACCTCACCTGAGGTATTAACTTTTTTTCACTTGGATCAAACAAGATATTTGTTTTGCTTTTTAAAAAATAAACCAAGAAGATAAAATAACAACAAACATGAAATAACAAAAATTAACAACAATCAATGATTATTCACTTTTCCCCTTCCGGAGAAGATTCTTCAAGTCGTTACATAGACTTTTTTCCTCAGAATTTCGATTGCTCATTCAACATTTCCTGCTTAACATTTACTGCTGAAATATATCTTATTCAAAGTTATTTAAAGTCTTTGGCCTTTTCGACTTACCTTTTCAGCATACCGTCTTGAATCTTTCTCCTCGTTAAAGGCATAGGGGCAGTAAAAAATGGGGTTTCAGGTAAAAACAGTATCTTATACAGTTTTTCTTTGCGAATCGAATGGTGTACTCAAAACAATTGAAGATGTGACAACTTTAGAAGAAAAACGCGATTTTACTTTCCCGCCTTTATTTTTGAAAAAAGCTTTGGATCGGCCTACGGACAAATGTTTACAGTAGCCGTGCACGCGATGTTGCGGACGTCTCATTAGACTCGCATTTTGTGAGAAAAAACCGGCTCTCTGCTTCAAATTAAGGGTTTCTTTTCTTAAAAAACGTTTAGTCAAACAAAAACACACACCGATAATAAAGGAAACACAAAATAACGCTATCCCAATCGAAACCGATGTAAAATCATCATTTTTCACCAAAGAAGCATTTTTGCGATCAAAGTTTGCAAATTATACATGAATAGAAAGTTTTTGGGACAAAAAAAACTTTGGTGACAACAGGAAAAATTCAAATTTGAAAGAAACGAAGAAAAAAGCGAAAATCCGGAAGATGGGAAAGCCTGTTGTCCATGGAGCAACTTTACTGCAGAGCGCCCTTTTCGCGGGAACTCAAGCTTTCCTTTCTCCGATTTTGAATTATTTTTTCTTCAAAACTAGGAAGTTCGGTACGTTCCCAAGTTTACCGTTCGATTCGCAATGAAAAGCTCTACAAAGTACTGCTTTGAACTGAAACACCGTTTTTTACTGCCCCTATGCCTTTAACACGCAGTCTCTGTAATTCTCAAAATCAACGGGTACAGAAAAAAAAAATATTTTTTGATTTCATTGAAATTTCAACCAGTGTTATCATATGACGTCAGGATTGCGGACACGATTTTTTGAAGCCATTTCCTCCAACCGTAACCGGGTTACGGTAGGGAGGTGGTCACCTGCGTATCTAAGAATTGACAAGTTTCCTCTAGTCAAATTGTATATCAATCGATAGGTAATGCAATTTTAGGAGTTTTTTCAGTACATACCATCTTAGGTTACTGTAGAAATTTTTGAGATACGGTACTTTTTGTGTTTGCGACTTTGGTTTTTTGGTCACCCTACTCACAATAGTTATTTGCCGTTAAAGTTACCTCTCTAAAAGATGTGTTAGGTCATTAGCTACAAATTCATACCACATTGAAAAAATTTCGAGATACCCATCATGTCGCAAAATCGCGCCGAACGCGCGCAACTCGGGGCCCCAGCGCTTAGACTCGCCTTGGATGATGGCCTCTAACCTTCTTTTATTGACTGAACTTTTGTTGAAAACTGTTTTTCTTGAAACTACAGTCCATAAACTTCTGGTAAAAGTCATTTTCACAAAGTTTAGCCCAATTTACGGCCAGAAAGTTCACTTTGAAGTCGATTTTGGCCTGAAAGTTGAGGTTTTAGAGGCTCTAGGCCTTTTTGGGAGATCTATCACCGTTTACTGCTGTCCATTAGTGTTTCATCACGCAACCACATCTCCCAAAGGTCTTCTGAAACCTAAAGTACAATAATCTCATCTACCCATCAGCTGAAAAACTCAGTTTTAAGACGATTTCGGCCTGAACACAGTGTTTTTTGATAATCCACACTTCTTTTGGGTAGACTGTCACCGTTTCCTCTTTTCTACTGGTCTTTCACGTGGTTCCTGCATCCGCCAAGTTCATTTTGAAGTCTGAAAGTTTCCGTTTTAGCTACCCGTCGGCCGGAAAACTCAGTTTGAAGACAAAACTGACCTGTTAACAGTGCTTTCTGAGGTTCAATGCTTTGTTTTGGACTAGCTATCGGGTTGCAACGCGCTTTTTTTATTGTTCCTTTGATTTTTGTGCTACCCACAAATACTGCGACTTTATTTTTCGACGATATATATTTTACCTGTCGCCTTGAATTTGTGTAGGTTGCATCTTGAGCCTTTAATAGATTCCGAAGCCCAAAAGAATGCTCACTTCAGATAAGCTTCGAGAACTTTCTGGTGAATTTTTCGAAGAACCCTTTTCCGCCAATAGACAAAGAAATCAAAGAAAAGAGAAAAAAAAACTGAATAGAAATGACCCCGAAAGGCCTTCTTGCGGCACAACATTATCTCAATCTGAGACAAAATATGGTATACTTTTCTAGCGTTCCAACTTCACTGATAAAAATTCTAGGCTCAAGATGTACCCTACACAAATTCAAGGCGACAGGTAAAAATATATCGTCGAAAAATAAAGTCGCAGTATTTGTGGGTAGCACAAAAATCAAAGGAACAATAAAAAAAGCGCGTTGCAACCCGATAGCTAGTCCAAAACAAAGCATTGAACCTCAAAAAGCACTGTTAACAGGTCAGTTTTGTCTTCAAACTGAGTTTTCCGGCCGACGGGTAGCTAAAACGGAAACTTTCAGACTTCAAAATGAACTTGGCGGATGCAGGAACCACGTGAAAGACCAGTAGAAAAGAGGAAACGGTGACAGTCTACCCAAAAGAAGTGTAGATTATCAAAAAACACTGTGTTCAGGCCGAAATCGTCTTAAAACTGAGTTTTTCAGCTGATGGGTAGATGAGATTATTGTACTTTAGGTTTCAGAAGACCTTTGGGAGATGTGGTTGCGTGATGAAACACTAATGGACAGCAGTAAACGGTGATAGATCTCCCAAAAAGGCCTAGAGCCTCTAAAACCTCAACTTTCAGGCCAAAATCGACTTCAAAGTGAACTTTCTGGCCGTAAATTGGGCTAAACTTTGTGAAAAATGACTTTTTACCAGAAGTTTATGGACTGTAGTTTCAAGAAAAACAGTTTTCAACAAAAGTTCAGTCAATAAAAGAAGGTTAGAGGCCATCATCCAAGGCGAGTCTAAGCGCTGGGGCCCCGAGTTGCGCGCGTTCGGCGCGATTTTGCGACATGATGGGTATCTCGAAATTTTTTCAATGTGGTATGAATTTGTAGCTAATGACCTAACACATCTTTTAGAGAGGTAACTTTAACGGCAAATAACTATTGTGAGTAGGGTGACCAAAAAACCAAAGTCGCAAACACAAAAAAAGTACCGTATCTCAAAAAAATTTCTACAGTAACCTAAGATGGTATGTACTGAAAAAAACTCCTAAAAATTGCATTACCTATCGATTGATATACAATTTGACTAGAGGAAACTTGTCAATTCTTAGATACGCAGGTGACCACCTCCCTACCGTAACCCGGTTACGGTTGGAGGAAATGGCTCAAAAAATCGTGTCCGCAATCCTGACGTCATATGATAACACTGGTTGAAATTTCAATGAAATCAAAAAAATATTTTTTTTTCTGTACCTGCTGTTTTTTTGAGAAAAATTTCGAAAAATTACAGAGACAGCGTGTTAAACATAATAAAATATCCGGTCAGTGAACACATCTTTCACTGTTCGAAGAGATTCACTAATTTCGTTAAATTGATTTTGTAGTAAAAACCTGCAAATAATAAATAATCTAGTGTATCAAACAGAATAGACTTACCAGTTCTTTCTGTTCACTTTTACACTTTCTATGGAGAAGTAGAGATTTCTTGACACGAGAAGCATCCTTCATCTTAGAAAATATTGAACTTTGCTTGAAAAACATCTTGAAAATGAAATAGATAACAACACAAAAACTGAAGAAAATTGCGACGCAAATCGTTCTCAAATGAGACACTTCGTTCTTTCATACCTGTTTGCCAGCACCTTCGAGAAGTTTCGAGTGTGACCACTCTCTCCTTTTCCTTCAGTTCTCTCAATATTTGTGACACCTTCACTCTGGCAATTTCTCTTTCTCTTTGTGTGACCTTCTTTTCTCTTCCTCACTGTGACCAAGCACAATCACACATTTGCCCCAGTTGAACTAGACACACGCGACGCAACACGCAAACGCGTTGGGCTAGAGTGGAAGGCAGAGACGCAGAGGAAAGCGAGAGACAGCCAACATCACATTCTTTCACCTTATGCCTTTTGTGCATAGAAAAGATACTTCCTTTTCATTTGCTTTATGAACGTTATAACTAATTTCGTATTAATTTTTAAATTGATTTAGGTGGAATGTTTATTATCATAGACTTGAGTGATCACGAAAATAAATCTCATGACTCCGTCAAATTTAAATTCCAAGCTCAGGTATGCTTTCAATTTATACACTAAATACAATTCATTGTTTTAGGACACAATCGAGCTGCTCCAGGATAAAATTTCCTCTAGTTTTCGAATTGCGCAAGATTGTCAACGAATATTTGACAGCAATGGTAGTCGCATCGATTTGGTATCTGGTACATTGGAGAAAGCAGGACTTCGAGATAATGAAACGTTGGTACTGGTTAGTTATTTTGACATGTAATTCTGATATTTTTAAAAGCGTGAATAATTGTATTAAAATAAACTTTAATGTGAATAATTCCAGAAGCACGCTGCACTTAAACATTGGGTTAATTTTCTATCCCATTGTAATGTTGTCAACGATACACAGGCAAACAGAAATGATCGAAAAGCATCTGCTTATTTGGCTATTGATTTGTCGGCACAATTGGAAAGTTCAAAATTTTTGTTGGCTTATTCGGATTTTGGCACAACATGGGTGCAAAAGCGTGGCCAAGCGATGAGGTTTGTTAATATCTATTTAAATTTTAGAAACTTTCTTAAAATAAAACTAAATATTAAAAAGGTATGCAAGATACCTCATTTTTTTTATACTATATTTTCTATTTTTATTAATAAGCTAAAAAGCAAACTTAAATTCAGCTATTTTATTATTACAAGTTTGTCAAATTTTTTTAATTTAATTTTTTTAATCTATTTAATTTACACATCTTTTATTAAAAAAACTAGTAGATTGTAGAAAGAGTTTTAAGACGTTTTAAATTTCAGATTAATCGATCGACTTCTGCCCGCCTTTAAAGAGAGTGCGAAAGCATTTTTTGCCAGTCTAGATCCTGAATCAACTGTCGAATTTGAACCTAAGACTGTTGGAATCATGTCGGGAACAATAGCAAAAGTTATGAATGGAGATACACTGACACGCTACTATTTGAAAACATATCATCGATCTGCGACAGCTAAAGTCATAAGCACGTCAGATCGATTCCCACCAGATCTGATCGAAACCTTCGTTTATCGGTTTTTGAACTACATTGATACTGGACCAATTGTCTATTTCCCGTATTACTCAAAGTCAATCTACATTTATTTTATCATGACTAAACAAGTAGATGGTTTTCAAGAATTGGAACAGGTCAAAGACGCAGAATTGCAGATCAAAATTGTTGTGGAGGTAATGTTTATTTAAAAATTCAAAAATATATATCCTAATAAAACTCATTTTAGGCCTACATACTCCGGCTGATTCTTGGAATTACTGATCTGAACAGTGGAAATTTTGGTGTTGACAAGAGAAATATATTATCAATAATTGATTTTTGTCCACCTCAAGGCGATAATTTTCTTCAACGTGACATCACAAATGATTTCAAGAACGGGAACAAATTAGATCAATTTGATGTCAATGAAATCCTGCTGAAAATCAGTCCAGAAAAAAGAATTGAAATAGCAAAAGTTGCGTTGGATCGTTGGATTGGAATAAGAACAGTGACGTCCAACCTTATTGATGATGAGAAAGCCTTTTTGAGAAGACATGGTATCAAATTCGATAATGGTACTGGCGATGTTGAAAAATATATCAAAGACATCAAAGCAAACTTTGAGACATTACGCTCAGGTTTGCAATAAACATGTTTGTGTAATTAGATATTTTTTCAATGTTGTGTTTGAATTTATTGTTTCTACGGATAAAATAATACGGATTAAATTGAGAAACAAAGATATGGAAAAGATTCATTAATCATTGTTGATAATTTTTTGTTGTACAAGAATATCTTTTTAACATGACGAATATATTTTTAATAAACTATTATAAGGTTTCTGATAATGTTAATGTTGAGATATAATATTGATCTAAAGAATATTGAAAAATACAGACTGAGAATGTTATATATACATTATTTTTTTCATTCTAACATTTTTTTACATAATTAAAGCGCAATATTTCGACCACTGGATTTCGACCACATTTTTAAGGTAGCGCATTTCGACCTTTTTACCATTTTTGAAAATTGTTTAAAATGACACATTTTTGATGACCGAAGGTTAGAAATCAATGAAAATAAGCCTTAAAATGGCTTAAAAGTGTAAAAATTGCGGATGGGCGAAAAGGTGCGTTAGAACGGCAAAATACATATTATTAAAAAAATGGTTCCCCCAATTTCGCCACTTTTTTTGCTTATAACTTTTTTTCATTTTTTTCATATTTTTTTCTTTTCTGTTTTCGCAGTTAGCTCTCGATTGCCATCAGCTTTCTTTTTCATATAGGTTTCAACTTTATATCACGGACTTTGGAAATTGGCCTGCGGTCCCTACCTAAAGTGGCCACTAATTTGACTACTATAGTGGCCATTAAAACGTCAAAACCCTGTAGTGGCCACTAAAAATTTCTTCCAGTTTGACTCAGTTAGTTAACTAAAACAAGTCCAATAGATAATTCAAAGGGAAAACCAAGAACTTCCCTATAGGCAAGGTCATTTTACTTTGGGAAGAAAAAAACCTGCCCAATCTCCTATTTTTCGAGAAAACAGGTCTAGAGGTCAAGGAAAACGTCAAAATCCGTTAAAATAAGCTATTTTTAGGCTTCGAACCCTTACTTTTCAAAAACTGAAAAGTTGGGCAGGTTGCGACTTCCTGGAAATTCTTCTGGTACATGTGTTCGGGTCATTTTTCAAAAAATTCAAGTAAGATGACCCACTTTTTGATTTAAAAAGGGTTTTTTTAAAAATTTGAAATGTTCTGAAAAAAACAAAAAAATTCTCAAGGAGCACTTTTTGGTGCGAGAGAAATTTTTTTCAATTTCTTCATTTTTTTAAAAATGTTTGAAATTTTTTTCTATTCTGATTCTGAACTTTGAAAAAAATGGGATAGAACGATAGGAAAAAGTTAAAAATGAACCAAATTGAAAAATGAACAAGAAAAATAAACTAAAATTGCATTTCTCATCAAAAATCCTGATAAAATAGCTCACCGATCATTTCCAAGCCCATTTCAACCGTCCTGCAGGCGTGATCTTCACAAGGCTCCGGACATCCGGCCACACAGTAGTAGCAATCTCCTGGAAAGTCCTTTTTTGATTGTTTGAACGATTCGCACGCCGTGGCGCAGCAGGTTATGTGCTTGTCTGCGGTCCAAAGGGTCACGAGTTCGATCCCCGTCGCGACCCAACCAAGGATTTTAAGAAATTTTGAAAGTAGGACCCCACGGCTTCATGATTTCTAACACAAAGTCGGATACACTAGAGCCATTCTACCGATTATCACTGATATAAGGACTTTGAGCCACTCAAGCCGTGAAAAGAAGAAAAATTTTATCGATTGATTGATCAAATCAACTCAAAAATCTCACCGAGAGTACTAATCTTCTCGAGTCCACAGATCCGGCAAAGCGTGTCGAACCTGAAAAATTAATTTCGAAAAAAATCGACTCAACTGAAACTTTATGAATTGTCTTTGTTTTTTACCTAGAAGCATCGCGTTAAAAAAAAAGAATAAATAATGAGAGTCTGAAAGAATAAAGTAAGATTCTCAAACTTCTAAAAATATTCTTTTTTTCTTCTTTTTTGCTTTAAAAATTGATGACGTGCTCAAAGTGATCCCGCGAGACTCAAAATAGCCGTCACAGAGTGAAAAAGATAACTAAACTTTGGAGGGTCACAGATAAATTCGAATTTGGCCAAAATCACTTGAAATCACATCGCTGGTTACTGTAGGATATCTTCTTATTCGCTCAATTTTCGAGAATATTTCTGGGAAGCTTGAATGCACCTTTAAAGAGCCATCTCAAGGCGCAGATGAATCAACTTTTATTGACTTATTTTTTTTGTAAGCTTTTTTGATCCCCTGAAAGTCATAAATGCATGTAATTGTATAAAGCTTCTTCCTTGATAAGAAAATTTTCATTTTTTGAAAAAAAGTCTCCTTCAAATTTTCCTCTCAAGCCGGAAGTGAAAGAAAGGCTGCATGAAAAATTTCCATCTAAATCTAACTTTTTTCCCTTTCAAAAATTCTTCCTGGAGCGTTATTAAAGGCGCAACGTAGGTTTGCTTCTACAAGAAATATTTATATTTCGAAAAAAATCCTTCTTTATAACTTTTTCCTCAGGGGCTATTTCCCTCCATTTTCGTTTCTTTCCAGAACCTACCTTCCAAACAAGTCATTGAGAAGGTTCACAAGCTCGTCGGCTGATTTATTCGAGGACATTTTCGTGAAGCCGGCGATATCAGCGAACAAAATCGAGACGTCCGTCATCAGATTCATGGTGAAGGGTCGGAATTTTCGGTAGTCCGGGACGGATTTCGGCATCGCTTCTGAATTTTCATCGTTTCAATCATCCTCTAAATATCTTGAATCCCTGGGAAAATTTTTAGTTTAGTGGCCACTATTAAGGCTAGAGACTACTTGGATAGGACACTAAAGTGGCCGCTAAACTCACCTCTATACTGGCCACTATTTTCCGTTTTTGTGGCCACTAGAGAGGTTATCTATTTAGTGGCCACTTCAGAAGTTTTTCATCCAGTATTCCTTTCAGTAACTCTGATAATTTCAAAACAGACAGATTGGACCAGTTATGTTGATCCATTGACCCCTGAAGTGGCCCCTAAAATTTTTAGAGATTTAGTAGTAGCCTTTAGACCCCTTAAGTTGCCACTAAAACGTCAAAACCCTATAGTGGCCACTGAAAATTTTCCCATTCGAATTTGCGCATTTAAGATACGCCAGAGTGGTCCCTAGAGGGGTTTGGTTGGACAACAGCCACTATACGGGACAAAATAGTGGCCCCTATAGGGCTAACGTTTAGGTGGTCTCTAGAGAGTTTTAATGTCCCCTAAGTGGTCCCTATAGGGGTCGTTTTATTTTATATTCATTTTTTGTTTTGAAAAATAAAAAAACCTCCCTATAGTGACCACTTTTGAAGCTTTCGTGCCCCTAGAGGGACTACTTTCGAGCTCCTAACGTTACTGTAGTTTTTCTCAGTTTAACAGAAACTGAAGCAATTAGAAAAAAAAACCAACGAAATTCAGAACTTTTCAAATAATTCCATTAAAATTTCAACTATAATCCTTTTTCTTTTGACTCAAAAACTCAATGATTTTTGTTTTTCTGCAAAAAACGAGTGTCCATTCCCTCACATGTTATTTTGAGCTTAGAAATTCAAGAAAATTCCCTCCATTTCCGGCCGTTTCTTCCGGTGTTCTTTTTGTTGTTTATGAGAGCCATCAAACCAACAATTCGTTCCTATTTTTGGCTCGAAAAAGTAGGGAATTGAATGGAAAAATGGGAATTTATGAGAAACTTAGCTTTCTTGATCTCATTTGAGCAACAAAAAAGAATGAGATTGAATTTTTTAAATAACTTTGAAATATTTCCCGTCCCAAAATGACCATTTCAAACAAATTTTTAAAATCCAACCCCATTTGAGTAGATTTTGCGGGTTTGTTCAATTATAATCACTTAATTGAATTAAATATATAAATATTTAAATTTTTGAAGCTTTTTGTACCAAGTTTCTTGCATGAAATAGCACAGCTCTCTAAATTTTCTACGTATAAAAAATAAAAAATTGAAAAGTTTTTGATATTTTGAAAGGTTATTGAAAAGGTTGAAAACCTGAAAAACTGCAAAGCTTTATTCTCAAGAACGAAAATTAGATACCATTCTTGAAATCGCCAAAGTGGTCCCTAGAGGGGCAACCCCCAAATTCCCCCTCTAGGGGCCGCTTCACCACTTCCTATAAGGGCCACTATAGTTATAAAAACTATTTGAAAAACTCATCAAATCGGCGCTTTTTGAATATTCAAAAAAATCGCTATAGGTACCAGTTAAGTTTCAGGAATTCCTACACCCCTATAGGGGCGACTTGAACTTTACCCCCTAGGGAGCCCTTTTTGTGCCCTACAGCGGCCTCTATAGAGACCACTCTGACGTTCCTAAGCTTTTCAGCCTTTTTGAGAAATCTATTAAAAAATCCACCCAATATTCTGCAAGCTTTCTGGCTTTACTACAGCATCAAGGGAAAAATTCAACATTTTTTCCAGGAAATTCTCGAAAAATCGCCCCAAAATTTCTAGAAGCTCTCTCATTTCTCGGCGGTAACCTCAGCTGGAAATGAGCTGGAAACGTGTGCCCCATAAATTTTAAGGGCTCAAAGGCGCTCATGTTCCTTCGGGTAGAGTTGAATTTCGTGGCCAAATGAGCCGCCAACTCCCACGAGACATCGCGGAAGAGCTCGGCTCGATTCTCTCGTTTTTTCCATTTTCGTCGATGACTCACGAATCGCGACGGGTTGTTCATCGCAATTAAGGGTTTGCGTGGCGTTCGAGGTCCGGCAGTTCGAGTCGATGCTCGCCGACGGCCGCCGCAGTTCCGAGGCGTCTTTCAGCAGCTCGTCGGCTACCTGAGCGAGACAAATATAGCCTGTGTATTATAGTTTCGAAAATTGACCGTTCGACCAATATTTTTTCAACGTGTCATAATAAATGGTCATTGGTCGAACGGTTGAAGTTTCAACATTTTAACATGTCACTTCAGAGTGACATGTTGGTTTTTGACCATTCGAAATGTCACTTCAAAAATGGTCGGTCGGTTGCGTAAATTTCAGAAACTGGTCGGTCAAACGAACGGTCAGAAAAATGACATGTTAAAACCGTTCGAAAAACTGAACGGTCAAATTTTAGAACACTACTGTGTACCACGACTTGGAATTTCACCCAACGACATTCCGCTGTGCCGCTGCGCGCCTTTGCAAACCTTGGACGCGCTTTTAATTTGTTTTTTTCTTCTATTAAGGTACTCTACTTTCATGTGTTGCCAGAGCGATATCAATCAATTGAAAACGTGACCTAGATTCGAAAGACGCTTCGCGACCGCACGCAGCGGAACAGCGGAACGTCGTTCAGCGAAATTTTAAGTCGTGGCCCACAGACTATATTCATAATGTTCTTTTTTTCCTTTTTTCCTACAATACGGCCGGTCCAAAGACCTAATTTTCTTCGATGAAATATCAGACTTTTTTACGACAAAAATCAGTTTTTGGTTCATTTCGTAATCGACAGAAAAAACAAAAAAATGCTCTCAAATCTTGGTAATGAAAGAAAAGGCTTCTATCATGTCTACAGGACTTTTTTGTATTTTGGTCCGAATTTCGTGGTTCAAAACTTGAAAAATGGATAACTTAGAAGCGCCAAAGTGGTTCCTGTAGGGGAATCATCATGGACCCTATAGGGACCCCTCTGTGGCTCCTAAGAATTTCCTTTGAAAGGGGGGGGGGGGAGTGAGAACCTCAATAAATATTCCCTTCGAAAAAATTGACTTTTTCCTGTTGTTTACCCTGCGCCGTCTATCCAATAGGGTTATATGAGGCTTCAACTCGATTTTCAGAGATTAGTTTTGTGAATAGGTCTAATTCTTTCGCTGTTTTTCCCATATCAGAATTCGGAAATAGCTAAGATTTGTAGCCTAATAATATCAGAAAAAGTTAGTTTTCCACCTGAAAATAATTATTTCCTACCTTTTTAGGCATGACGGATTGGATCATGTGATCTTTGAACTGCGTTTCCAGCTCCAAATCCTTCCTAGCCAGTAGAGATTGACCGACTTTTAAAAAAGTCTTTCGTTGTCGAACCTAAATTGATTTTTGAGAGGAATTATAGGTTGAAATCGAAAAAAAAATAAAAAAACTTCTAAAAAAATGAATAAATTCTTTGAAAAATTCCTTTATGTTATGTTTAAAGGCGCAGAAGTCTTAAAATAACACAAGGACGGCTATTCGCCTCGGGACCCATATGAAAAATTTTCCTATGCGCCTTTAAAAATTCATAGAATGGTTTTTTTTTACCAAACTACATTCATTTCAGTGTAATTTTTTCTCAATAATAATCCACTAGGCTATATAATCCGGCTAAAAACAAGATTAAGACCAATTTTTGGATTGACCTTCAAAATTTTGACGGAGGGGATTAATTTGGATAATAATATAATAGCAAATGTGAGAAGCCTAGAAATTGCAATATGAGCTGATTTTCATAAAGTGCGGACGTATGGAAGAGTCAAGAAAGGTGAAAAAAAGAAGACTTGATAGAAAAATAAATTGAAAAAGGAAAAAAAGAAAAAAAGAAAATCGGAAAAATGCAAAAAAAAAAATGCGAAAAAAACGAAAAAGCGGAAGAAATTGAAGATTTTGAGAGAAAATATATGCATTCAGAGCCGAAAATAACATTATTTGAAATCTGAAACTTGATAGCAATTAGACCCGAAAAAGACAAAAAAAGATGAAAATGTTCGGATTTTTTGGTAATTTTCGGACTTCAGTTGCTCCAAATGCAAATTTAGCACAAAAGAGTTGAAAATTGAGAAAAAAAAATAGGAAACTTGCGATTTTCTACAACTAACTTCAAATATCTTTGAATTTTCTAAAAAAATTATGGAAGCTATAATATAATAAAAAACGAAGAATCCTTAAAATGTTTTTCTAATTTTTCAGTCGAACAGACGCATAATTTCAAAAGAAAAGCTGATGAAAATTCAAAAATTGAAAAAATAACTGTGAAAAAAGCGAAGAAATGACATCATGTACAAGAAAATCAATAAAACCTGAAATTTCAAAGTTACCTGGGTCAAAATGAACAGGTGAACTCCGAGCAAATGAACCCCGACATGAAGGAAAATCTTGATGTAGCTCGATTCTTCCAGTCCCAACTGGAAAAATCAATTTTTTTTCATTTTTTTTTTGACCTCACCTTGTTCTTGTTCAAAATCTGGAACAAAATCGAATAAATCACTCCGATCAATATACATAGGTACAATGGCAAGGGGATCACCGTGTAGATCAGCAGGACGACCTGAAATTCGATTCTTTGATATCGATTTTGTATTGAAAAAGGGGTAAAAAGGTGAAACGAGAAACTTCTTTTGAGGACCCTCACAATGTAGGTCTTTTTACTTTTCGGTCGGGATTTTCCTGAAAATTGGCCAGGATACTCGAAAATGCCGAAAAAAAAATTTTAACTTCCAAAACTTCCTAGTTTTTCAGAAAGGACACCTGAAGCCGCAGAAGAAACCCTCAAAATCTGTTAAAATGGGCAATTTTGGGGCTTTGAGACCTCATTTCTCAAATATTAGAAATCCTTGCAGGTCTAAACTTTCAGGGTCTTTTTTCTAATACTTCAAGAAGTGTTCTGGCCAACTTTCAGAAAATTCCCAACCGAAAAGAAAAACGACCTCCCTTGTAAGAAGAAGCTGCAAAGGACCCTCTAAAGGCTCCAAAAATGGTGAGAAAAGCTTTTGAGATACATTTTCATAGCCTTAATGATCTTTTAGATGCTCTCCGGCATAATTTCATTAGAGGAAGTGAAAAAAATGCAAGAAAAACAAAAAAAAAATATTTTGGGACCATTTTTTTTATCATTTTTTGGAGAGATTTTAAATTGTTTTTCCGTTCTGCCCGAGTATTTTATAATTTTAAAAAATTTCGCTTTTATTCTTTATGATTTTGAAATAAACTTTCAATCCGCGTTTCATATTTTCCACGGAAAAAGTGCAATAAAAACGGGCCGTTTGCTCGGTTTCTGTTCCCTTTTTGGTTTGATGTGAAAAGGGCCATTTTTAGAACGAATCGCATATTAAAAATGAATGCGCGTGTGTCTGTGAATGAAATTTCGCTATTTTTTTCCAACTGAAACACCGGATTTTCCGATGGCGTGAGAGGTACTTGAATAGAAAATCAAAAATTGATTTTTCTTCGTTCTTACGGGAAAAAAATCGGAAAAAGGTTCATAAGAAAACTTTATGGAGAAAAAGGATAAATTTAAAAAAAAAAGGAGGTTTGAAGGAACGTTAAAAAAAGGTTATGGAGGTGGAAAATAAGCCTTTTTGTGTTATTTACGGACGCTTGACATAAGAAAAAAAAAATATTTTTGAGCCTTAACAACCTAAAAAAATTCTATGATAGAAGCCAGAAGGTCATCATTTTCAGCCATTTTCCTTTGAAACTCAATCCTTTCAGTTATTTTTATGGACTCAAATCTTTAATTTCAATTTTTTTCGCCCACGACATTATTCTAAATAAGATAGGAGCCACTGGAGGCTCACTAGAAGCCATTTTCGATATCCTTGTCTTGTTTTACAAGCAAAAAAATGATGAAAAAAATGAGAAAAACTTCAAAAATCAACGAAATGAGAAAAAGAAATCGCTAAAAAAATTGATCTAGAAGTCTGTTTTCCTTCAATTTTCATTTTCCTAAACAAATTCGATTTTCAATTTATCTCAATAGAACGGAAAGCTTAGTCTACTTGTAAAAAACCCCTTTTTTCCGTTTTTAAACCCATTTTCCACGTGTATGTTGTTACAAACAGATTTTTTTGGACTTGGTTGTTTCATGTACTGAGAAAAGTTTTTTTCTTTTTTTGAGATTAGTTCGTATCTGTTTTCTGATAGAAGAAGCCTTCTGAAGCCTGAAATTACTACAAAAAAAAGGAGGGATTTGTACTTTTATGACAGAAATCAAGTAGAAAAGGATTAGACTTCACAGATTGACCAATTTTTAGATGGAAATATTCAAAAAGGTAGTTTTTTCTCTACTGGAGTTAAGCGGTGTCCAAGGTAAATTTAGTTGAATTCAGATTTGTCTCTAATTCTCCAGAATTTAGTTATCTTTTTCAATTTCTGAGTGTTGTTTAGAATTCTATTGATTCATTTTGAGCACGGCATTACAGCATATGAAAATGCTTATCTCTGATTTTTTTTAATGGAAAACTATTCAATAACCGAAGAAAATTTGGGAAAACCCCATCAAAATCTCCATTTTCAATCTTCCCGAAAGCTTCAGTGTCACAAGTAACACGTAATTATGGAGATTGCTCTCCGGACCATCCAATCCAAGTTGAGAACGCCCTCTAGGCTTTTGCTCATTGTGCTTTTCCCCCACTCTCTCCTTTGCAATCGATGTCTTCAAGCTTGCGACGCGAGCATTTTTTGAGCTTGAATCTTCTCCTATAAACTATTGGGTGGCAGGAGAAGATCCCAGAGAAAAAAAAAAAGAAAGAACCAAGGCGAAAACACCAACAAATGCCGCGAAGTATCTTTTTTTCTTACACATCCTTTGGCCGGTGTAATGTCATGCATCAAAAATAATGGAGTCACGTTTTTCACGGTGGAGTTACTGCAAAACTACTCAAGAAGAAAAATTGAGCACTTATAAATAGTTCTGCGTATGGTGAAATTTAAATATTAAAAAAAGGAGGATATGAAAAAAATTCTTAGCTTGTTTTTTTAGCTTCTCTCGCCTGTGACAAATTTCGGACGACGGGAAATTTTTAAAAATAATAAAATATGAGAAATGGTGAAGAAAAAAATAGCATATTTCCGGAGAAACCCATATATTTTCAAAAACTGGCCTTTTTTTAATGATATCTTCAAGATTATTAACATAAGAAAAATACGTGAAAGGTGAAAAGAAAGCAAAAAAATAATTGACAAAAAGCGATAGAAAGTTTTTCTAATTGTGTGCGTTGGTTTGCATGGACTGGGCCCGCCTTCTTTTTTTGCGCCTTACGGTTTTTTTAGCTTTTGAAAAAAATTGAATTTTTCTTTTTCTTTTTCTTTTTTTATTTTTTTCTTATTTTTTTATTTTGTGTTTATTAGTTTTTCAAAACTGTACCGGAACAGTAGCGGCGTGTCAATTTTTTTATGTTCAAAGTGGAAAAACTAAAAATATTTTTTTGTCGTGTCATAAATATTGCTATATTTTGTTTTTCAGCTCGTTGTTTCAAAGATAAGTTACCTTGTCTCTTCAAGAAAGTTGTTTAAATTCATTAAAAAGTCATTCATTTATCGGAACTTCGTATTTCTCGATAATGATACTATTTCTCAATTGAAATATATATTTTTTTCTTACTGATCTTATAATTTTTTTGTGAAGTCATCATTTAAATTTTTTTATGTTTATTTGAAGATCATATGAAAGAGACGAGATTCTCTTTGCATTATGTGTGGGCTTAATCTTCGCGAGAGATTACGAGCTTATTATTTTGATTGATATTTGAGAACAACAAACAAGAAGAGAACAAAAGAAAGGAGATGGGTGAAGGTTTATAAGGACTCAGACCTTGGTAACGCGAACGGGACGCGAATCGGACGTGTCGGGGCATTTCTAGTGACCACATTAGTAGCCTCAGAACTCTTAAGGGATCCCTAGAATCGCCCAGAAACGTCCGGAGCACGTCCGTTTCGCGTTACCAATGTCCGAGGATAAAAACACACCTGAAAACTGGTGGCGAGGGTGGCGACCGGCGTCATGAAGGCGACTTGCGATTCGGATGAGAAGATGAGTAAAGTGACGAGGCAGATGAGGAATGTGCACAGAAACGACGTCGGCATGTAGAATCGCTGATATTGGGCCGCGCAAGCCGTGAACGAGAACATGGCCACGCATACTACGATCAGGAATGTCGCCGTCACCTGAAAATTGGCTTGTTTTTGAACTTTTTCCTGTTGAATTTCGATTTTCTTTTATGATGCTCACTTTTTTTTTTGATGTATTTGCCTGTTTAAGTGAGAAGATAACTAAGTCTTGAAGTTTCAGAGACAATTTTGCATTTCGCGAAAATTAATAACTAACACGGTAATAGAGTTATTTCATTACAGCTTCCATGGTTTTTAAAGGCGCATAAGTCGAATTTAGTTCTAAAAATCGGAAAACGGCTCTTTTTTCAAGACCTTGCAGAAATTTTCTTATGGACCATTCAACAACTAAATTCAATTTTCTTTCAAAATGAAGGAAAAGAATGTCGAGAATGTGGTTGATTTTCGATTGACTGAGATTTTTATTAGAGGAGGTTTTTTGAAGGGACATAAGTCGGAGTTGGCTTCAAGAACCTGAAAACGGCTTTTGAGCCTTTTTTCGATATTGAAGGAAAAGAAAGGCTTCCGTAGCTTTAAAGAACCCAGAGAGAAGTTTCGAAATCGTTATATTATTTTTCTGATTTTTTTATTGGTTAGGTGGCTTTTTATTTCAAACCTGCCTTTAAAAAAACTGTTTCTAATCGAGAAAAAAATCTAAGAAATTTTGAAAAAGTTTTGAAATTGTTACGGTCAGCTTGTCATTTCAAACTCGTAAAATAGACATTTTTATGAATCCAGATAAGCAAGGTGAATATTTTCTCACATTCCAAAAAAACTCTCAAAAGTGGTTTTGGTCGAATAAATTCTCTATTGCTTCACTCTGCGCCCTCACCTCGGAGCGGTTAAATAAATATATATCTGTTGGACGGCCTCTGTGGCCGTTGCCGATTTTTCCAAACATTCCCATTCGTGTTCATCCCAAACACACATATAACGACAAACTCTGTTTCGCATGGATTTTCCCCAACAATTGGTTGTTATATTGATTATTTTGACCCCAATTGAAATCTTCAAAATTTGAAAAATTAGCTCCTTCTTTCCAGTGGATCGAAAACTCTTGCAAAATAAAATGAAGTCGGCAGGAAAAAAGAATAAAATTGGATTTGAGAGAGGCTTCCAATCGAAAAACATTCTCGAAATGGTTTAGGAAGCATTGGAATTCCAAAAAAAACAAAGAAAAAAACCAATTTTGTTTCAAAAAAAAGAACAAATAAAGGCAATTTCGGCATTTCGGACCGAGAAACGTATAGAACTTTTTCAATTGTGCAGCAATTTTTAATTTGGGCCAATTTGAAAGATTTTTTTTTCGAAAGGTGACAGTTCAGGTGTGAGAAAATAAACAAACAAAAGACCGGGAAATCAACAAAAGGGTTCGATTTCAAGAAAAAAAGTGTTCTCATCAAAATATTATCTCATGGACATGTTAAGGCAGGAAAAAGTCAAAATTTCCATTCCAAAAATTTCCAAAAAAGTCAAAATTTTCCTTACCGGGAAAATTTGGTCTCAGAAGTTTTCCGTGGAAATAGGTATTAACAAAAGATGATTTTCAGAGAAAGAGTAATGAAAAATAGGATAATAGAAGGGAAAATATTGGAAAAAATTCTTTCAGATGGTTTTTTTGACTTGGAATTGGAGTTTTGGTTTTTTTTCATCACAGAAGACAAATTAAATAATAGATTCAAAGAGAAAAAAAAAATTCAATTCAAATTTAATCAAGGAAGTCTGAATTAATAATAAACAAGAGACATAACATTTAATCTTCCTGGTTTTTTTTTGACTAGTTATGAAATTTTTTCATTTTTTCGACTCAATATAGCCTATACCGCGCCAGCTTGTCACGTTTTTCTTCCCGCCAAAAATACCGTATATCAAATTAGATCAAATTTCTGCTTTTAAAACGGCAAGAAAAGAAGGTCTTGAAGCGAAAGTCGGTTAAATTTGCCCTGGACTTTTGGCGGGGAGAAAAACGTGACAAGCTAGCGCGGAATGGCCTATAACATTGAAGTTTTTTCAATATCAGGCTTAAAAGTTGAAAGATTTGAAGAACAATCATTTCAATGGGGTTTTTTTTTCAAAGCTTGAAATTCTCATACTAATTTTCAACAAAAAATGATTGAAAAATGTTAATTCGCTTTGAACAAACAAAAAAAAAAATCCATACAAAATGTACAAGCTATAGAGAAAAGGGTATTTTAAACTATTTGATGGGTTTTCGAGCTTCTTTTCATGGTAATTTGCTTCGAAAAGCACAATAGTTTTGAAAGAAGAATCTCAAAAGCTGGTTCATTTCGAAATATGGTCTTTAATGGATTTTCAATGCATATTTTGGGTAAATCTTTCTATTTTCTCGAAGAAAAAGGTTATAGAAAGTTATATAGCTTTAAAAAACTCAAAAATGTTTTTAAAATACACTCACAAGCAGCTGAATTTCGAAATTTAGTCTTTCTTATGGCTTTCCGACTCCTAATTTGAACTTATTATCCTATTTTCTCGAAAAATAAAGATGAAAACAAGATATTTGGCTTGGAATTGACATCACGACAAGACTCCAGACAACAGACCCAATGCTGGAATCCGGCCCGGTCGAAAATAGCCAGATAGACGGCCCAGGCGAAGCAGACGACGGCGATGTAGATGAGGCCGGACCGGAAACGGTCGCGGAGCTGGCTGAAGCTGCACTTCCAGTACTGGGCCTCTAAGGAGGCCGATCGGAACTGCGGGTTCCACCAACGGGCCGAGGCCCTCTCGAAGAGCGGCACCCGCCGTGGCGAAGACGAGTGAGCCCGGACGGAAGGCCCGCGGGAGCCTCCCAGGGCCGGAGTCCGCTCGCCGGCCTCGTCGTCCATCTACTGCCGGCCTCCGCCTTCTCCACACACGCCTCGATCCGTCCGTCCGCCTCATATCGGCCCTCCCTCTTCCACCGCACCCGACCAACTGCTTCTTGCGCCTTCACCCTCCTCATCTCCTACTCCGAGAGCTGTCTCCTCACACGTACTTTTTCTCTCTTCCTCGACTCTAGAGTCTCCTCGCTTCTCCCCCCTCAACTGCGCCCCACCGCACACCACCCCTGTCGCTGGAGCGAACTTTCCTCCCAAGCGACGCTTTTTTTTTCAAGCGAGTCGAAGTCTTTATTATTTTCTTTTGGCTTCCTTTCGTGTTGCGGTTCGGTTTTGGCGTCCTGGACTACGGTAGAACCGTCTAGAACGCGGAAAATCGAATAGAACAGCCAAAATTATGCTAGTTGGCCTAAAATTTGTGTTCGAGAACGTGGTTTTTTGTCATTTTGTGTTGCGAAAGAGTTTTCCTGTTTTCTTTGTTTCTAGATAAGTTTTGTTATCCTTTGAAATAAAGTTCTTATGTAAATTATTTTTTTAGAATATTTATTTTCATTTGATAAAAACTAGCACAAACAAAAAAATTGCGATTGCAGCGTTGCTTTCACGCTCAAGGAAATCGCCCCAATGTGGTTCTATTTTTGGATTTTTAATCATTTTAAGTTTTTGAAGTAAATATCAATTTTTCACTTTTTTTTTGTCATTTTTACTTGATAAGTGTGGATTTTAGTGAAATTGTGAAAAAATTCAGGTATTTTCTTTTGAAATCTAAGCCCATTGACCAACTATAACTCTTTGCATTTAGATTTACAATATTGGTTTATTTTTAGTTTCAGTTCATTGAAATGAGCATTTTTGTGTATACGTCGAAACTTTAAGAATAAAACAGTCTAATTTTTGTGATTTTAATCGAATTTTCTCGTTCTATGTTATAAAAAAGGCGTGCAATTTGGAAGGGAAACATTTATTTTATTGCCCATTCACTTTGATTTTTGCTATGTTTAATTGTTAATTTTCTTTCTTATCCGTTTTCTCTTGTTTAAAAACTAGATTGAAGATTTATTTTACAAGTTCAGAATGGATTTCCTGGACAACCAAGCCGAGGAGTCCGAGGGCGAGGAATCTTCGAACGCTTCGGGTTCCGACGACGAGCCGCGGATGAAGAAGAGAAAGACCAGCGAGAAAAAGAAGAAGAAGACCAAGAAGATTGTTGAGAGGTTTTTATCGGAATTAAAAAAAAAAAATAAATTTTGATTTTCAGTGACGACGATGACGACGACGAAGATGATGACGACGAGGAAGGCCGCGAAGAAATGAAGGGCTTCATAGCCGACGAAGAAGAAGAAGAGGAGGATGTAAAGACCATCAAAATGAAGAAATATACAGATATTTCGATTTTCAGGACGCAAAATCCGAAAAATCAGCGAAAGAAGATATTGAGGATGAGCTGGACGACGACGATTTGGATCTCATCAATGTTAGTTTTGAGAAAAAAAAAAGTCTTCTTCTAAATAATGCGTTATGTAGGTCATGTACTCTATTAAAAAAATTCAATGAAAGCTTTTTCGTAGGTATTACCAATGAGCCATAAGTTAATAAAGAAAAATGAATAAAATGTCGTTAATTTTCAATTTTTTTCGAATAGAATTTTTCTTTTCAAGTTGTAAAATTGTTCAATTCCTTCATTAAGAACGCGGTACTAAACAAAAATCATTTAAAATATTCATTCTTCACAGTTTCTGAGAATCTCTTGAAGTAGATAATTTATAATTTGTTTAAAAAGAGTGTTCTCCTAAGAAAAATTTATTAAATTTGGAGTTTCATTTTGTTTTGGTTCCAAATCAAATTTTTGAGAAGTTTTTAATGATTTTTATCAAATTTTATTTCGAGTGGAAAAGTTAAGATATAGATGAAATAAAGTAAATTATATTATTTGCGAAAATCTCGGATGACCTATCTTTTTTTAAAATTGAAAAATGACTAGATTGTTTAGAAAATTTTTTGAAAAAGCCTCGATTTTTGGAGATTATGAAAATTTGAGTGTTTTCTCGGATCCGCGGACGTTTCTGAGTCTTTCTAGTGGTCCCTTTAGCGGCTTCAGAACTCTTAAGTGGTCCCCAGATTCGATCAGAAACGTCTGCTTTGTTTTATTTTTATTTTTTTTTGTTAAAGAATGTTTTTACCTCGATAACACAAAAAGTACGTCTCTGAGTCTTTCTAGTAGTCCCTTTAGTGGCGTCAGAACTCTTAAGTGATCCCTAGATTCGATCAGAAACGTCCATGGTGCGCCTTATTTTTTTTTTTTTTTTTTAATTTGACCTCGATAACGCGAGCCGCTCTTTTTTTGAGCTTTTGTAGAGGTCACTTTAGCGGTTTCAGAACTCTCAAGTGATCATACGGATCGCTCAGGATTTTTTTTTATTAAAGAATGTATCACCTCGATAACACAAAAGTACGTCTCTGAGTCTTTCTAGTAGTCCCTTTAGTGGCGTCAGAACCCTTAAGTGGTCCCTAGATTTGCTCAGAGACGTCTGATTTTTTTATAAGAATGTTTCACCTCGATAACGCAAACGAACGTTTCTGAGTCTTTCTAGTGGACCCTTTAGCGGCTTCAGAACTCTTAAGTGCTCACTTGACGTCTGGTTCGCGTTACTGAGATCTTTCTACATCTAGTGAAGGATATTTTTTGAAGCTATAATTTTTTCCAGGAAAACCTCGACCGACCCACGGACCGCACACAGGGCCGTGTGCAGCTGGACGATTCCGATGACGATGATATCGATGACCGAACCGCCATTCAGAACACCTTGTTTGGGGTGATTAAACTTCTGATAAATTGATTACAAACAAGATTTTCAGGGCGGTGACGACGACGCGGCTTCAGAACGTGGCGGCGGCGGGAATCGTCAACGAGAACGGGGCGATTATTCGGAGAACGAATATTCTGATTCGGAAAGAAGTGGTGGGTTCAAGGAAGAATCTTCAAAGTTTTTCTACTTTTCAAGTCTTCTTAAAGATCTCTGAAACCATTTTCTCGATTCAGAAGACAACTTCATCGAAGACGACGGCGACCGTCCCGCCCGACAACGTCACCGGAACAGGAACGCGAACATGCCGGAAGGCGCGGCGGAAGACGCCCGCGACGTCTTCGGCGTCGAAGACTTCAACTTCGACGAGTTCTACGAGGAGGAGGACGGCGACGAGGCGATGGACGACGAGGAGGAGGAGATCATTGAGGATGACGGAGAGGGCGGAGAGATCCGGGTGGGTCTTTTTAAGAGATTCCCAAGGGAGTTTGAAGTTTTGAGCGAACTTTCATAGTGTCAAAATTGATAAGAATTTATGAAAATGGCCCTTTTTAACCGATTTTGATGGGTTTTTTCTTGAAAAATAGCACGGGGGGGTGAGCCTTCAGAGACCTTTTTTCAAGGTTTCTTAAAGGAAATTCCTTGAAAGTTGACCCTAATATTTCCTAATGAACTTAGTGAAGATCCTGAAAGTTTAATAACTTTTTTTGTCTTTTTGGGTAGAAAAAAACGCCCCAAATCGTGTCAAAAAAATGACCGACTTTTTACGGTTTTTTTCGATTTTTTTTCAATAATCAAGTGTTTTTTTGTCGCTTGGGAGCTTTCAGGACTTGAAATTTGTCCTTGATAAAAAAACTTGAAGAAAAAAACATCCAACTATGAGTAAAATTACCTGAAAAATTAATTTTTTTGGTGGAATTTTTTTATAATTTTCACGAGTTTTTCAGGTCCGACGCCAACGGCAATCGACGAAAAAGTCGACACTTTTTGGACTCGATCGAGCCCAGCGAACTGGAAAAGGGCTTTTTGACGGCTCACGACAAGAAAATCATGATCGAGGACACTCCTGAACGGTAATTTTTGTGTGAAATTTCATGGCAAGGATTTTTTTTTCGAATTTTGAAAATTGGGCATACACTTTAAACAAGAGATAAGAAAGGTTCGAGAAAAAAACTCAGCAGTTTTTCAATTTTGTTTTTTTCAATGAGATCATTTCTGAAAAAAAGAACATATCAACGTCAAAAATTTTGTTAAATAAAATTATTTTTTTATCATGAAAGATCATGTTTTTTTCCACATTCCAGTTTTCAATTTTTTTATGCCATAGGAGCAGTTTTTTTATACTTTTTCCGATTTTCAGGAAAAATAATAAAGAAACACAAAAAAACGTCTGCAATTTCCAAGGCTTCGTATCGAAACTAGAGAAAAAAACGCTTTTTTCTATCTTTTTATACCGAATTATTTTTTTCTCTGAGTTTCGCCTCATGAATTTCCGAACTATCTCAAGGGGCTTACTGTTAGAAAAAACCGAGGTTTTTTTTTCTGCTTTTTTTGATTTTAATATGCCAAAAATTTTCGGTGACAAACTCATTACACGAGAAAATTTTTCTAGATTTTTTCGAATTTTGTGAATTTCTGGGTCAAAAATCTCTTTTTAGGGTGAAATTTTTCTCTTGATTCGTTATTTTTTTGCATTTTTTGATGAATATTGGATGTTTCTTTATTCTCATTCAAAACACTGGAAAAGCCAGGTTCTATAAAAATCAGTAAGAAACTAAATTTCAGTTTCCAACTGCGTCGGACGCCGGTGACGGAGTGCGACGAGGAAGAACTCGGCGACGAGTCCGAATGGATCTTCAACAACGCCTTCGGCCAGTCGACCATTTCGCGTCAGGAACGCACCACCCTGCCCTTCCTCATGAACGAATACGGGGCCAAACACGACTCTTCCAGGGTTTTCTAACAGTTTTTCTCATGGCGAAGTATGGTCTTTTTTCCGATTTTGGTACATTGCCAAAGTCACGAAAGATGGAAATAGGCTCCATAGAAATGTTCCTTTTAGGGTGACAAAGGCTCTTTTTTGCTGCCTTTTTGTTCCCTTTTCTCAGCCCTTATGCACCATTTTCGCTGTCTCACGCTTTTCCTACCATTTCTAGAGTCTTTAAAATCCCAGAAAAAATGAAATTCTCGATAAAGGGACCCTTTTTGCGGCCTTTTTTGAGCCTCTCATTTTCAGCGGCCATTATCCACCATTCCGACTTATCCCGAGTAGTTAAAATGCAGACTTTTTTGGCGTCTTGTGGCCTGATTTGACTAGAAAGCGAAAAAAGCAACATTTTTGAGTTAAAACTTTTTTCTGCTTCATTAAAAACTTCGAAAAACCCCTGATAATCAAACAAAAATATCATTTTTTCCATAAATTTTGCTGGTTTAAAAAAAAAAACAAACTGAAAAAGGAGAAAGTTGAAAGCCCTTTTTTTCATTTTCTAAACCATTTTTATGATTTCTAGACAATTAAAGCGATTTTCTAACAATTTTTTGAAGAACGAGCTTAAAAAACGAGTCATTCAAATCATCAAATCAAATCATTTATTTTGTTGGTTTAGTCATAGATGTATCGACTAGGCGGTGAACAAGAACTTTGAAAGCTATAACGAACAACCGCTCTACAGAATTTTCGCAAAGTGCAGTGCCTATGGCGGCATTCTGCAAAAAAGCTTCCAGCATTTTGCAAATCCGTGCTTTGCATTTTGCACAGAAGTACCTCGCATTTTGCACTTTTTTTCGTCTGTACAAAAGTGAGCCCAAAAAGAAATGCAAAATGCGAGGTTCTTCTGGGCAAAATGCAAAGCTCTGATCTGCAGAATGCATGCAACTTTTTTTGCAGAATGCCAGCATAGGCACTGCACTTTGCACGATTTCAGTAGAGCGCCTTTGGCGACTTAGAAGTCCAAACTTGTAGTTGATCAAGTTGAAAGCATGGTCTTACGGTCCTTCGCCTCGTCCTTCTGCGCGTAGTCCATCCAGTTGCGCCTTGACGAACTCAGAATGTAGCGGATGGTGTAGCTGGAGCCCACTCTACTGAAATCGTGCAAAGTGCAGTGCCTATGCTGGCATTCTGCAAAAAAAGTTGCATGCATTCTGCAGATCAGAGCTTTGCATTTTGCCCAGAAGAACCTCGCATTTTGCATTTCTTTTTGGGCTCACTTTTGTACAGACGAAAAAAAGTGCAAAATGCGAGGTACTTCTGTGCAAAATGCAAAGCACGGATTTGCAAAATGCTGGAAGCTTTTTTGCAGAATGCCGCCATAGGCACTGCACTTTGCGAAAATTCTGTAGAGTCACTTTTGTACAGACGATAAAAAGGGCAAAATGCGAGGTACTTCTGTGCAAAATGCAAAGCACTGATTTGCCAAGTGCATGAAGCTTTTTCGCAGAATGCCGGCATAGGCACTGCCTTTTGCAAAAATTTTGTAGAGCGGAGACCGTGCTCTAGGTGGAAGCCTCAGAATGAGAGCGGCCACTTCGAGTGAAGATTTTACACGGAATGAAGATTTTACACGGAATTTTCATTGGAAAATATGAGTTCTCATGTAAATTTAGCTATTTTATTGAAAATAATTGTAAATTAAGAGTTTTAATGAACACATTTTTATCTTTTTTCAACGATTTACATGATTTTTTGACGGTTTTACTGGTTTTTTTATCGATATTTTTTTGGTAAAGAAGTTGAAAAAAATGGGCTACTTTACCGCGAAATAATAACTGTAATGTAAATACTTTTATTGTATTCAAGATAATTAAAAAAATAGGTATGATTATGAACAAAATTTCATCTTTTTTTCAACGATTTTTTTGACGATTTTACCTATACTTTTCTGATTTTTTTAAGTAAAAAGTGGTCTAAAAAAATGGATTGTTTCTGCGTCCTGAATAAATTAACCATTTTTCGCAAATCGAAGAAAATGACCATATTCTGCTATTCGCCTAATTTTTCCAATAAAAAAAAAAGGAATAAATTCCAAATTTAAGGCCCAAGTCATCAACGTGATTCGCGAGGTTTTGCGCTTCATTCGCTTGAAAACGAACTGTTTCGAGGTAATGAAATCCAAGAAAAATCCAAGAAAATGTTCATTTTCAGGTCCCTTTCATCCATTTCTACCGCAAGGAATATATTAATAAAATGCTAACGATCGACGATCTTTGGAGGGTTTACGATTTCGATGAGAAATGGTGCCATTTGACGAATCGCAAGAAAAAGGTTCGTTTTTCAGAGAAAAAAACGGGAGATTTTTGCCGTTTTAAGGAGTTTGAAATGATATTTTTGAAACTTGGATGGGATTTCCAGGCCTTTTCATACAAAAAATCGTTCACAAACTTTTATAATTCATTTTGAGTTCGTGATTTTGAAATTTGAACAAAGCTACAGCCAGATTTTTGTACTGAAAAATCACAAAAAGGCGATTTAAGTTCGATTTTTTCGGAGTGAATTTTTAGAACCGTCAAAAATTATTCTGAAGAAAAAATCCCGAAGAAAAAGACGTTTTTTTCTGTTGAAAATTATCATGTAAATTTTCGAAAAGGATTGATCTTCGGAAAAAAATGCTTCGAAAGGAGTTCAGGAGTCAAATATGGAAGTAGGAACATAGGAAAAACAAAGTTAGAAGCGTTAAATTATCACGATTCACGAGATTTTTAAGTATTTCGTTGATATTTTAGTTTTTATATTTATATAGAATTATTGAATGGATTGAAATAGTACGTAAAATCAAAAATAATTTTTTTGAAAAAAAGACAAAAATTTTTCATTTTTGAGGTCAAAATTCGACTTTTTTTTGAATGATATTGAAATTTTAGCCGATTCTGAAGCCTATAAGAAAAAAATTTTTTTGTAGATTTCAAAAAGCTTTTTTTAACTTTTCAACTGTTAACGTTATTTATTAAAAAGGAAAAATGAATTGGAAAGTCAATTTTATGCGAATTTTTTTCAAAATTCATTAGATTTTGATTCATTTTCAAGCTCGAATTCGACAAATTCTTGAAAAATTATGTATTTTTATTTTCAGCTGAGCGATCTGATGACCAGAATGCAGAGATATCAGGACGAAAGCGAGGATTTGATGGTGAAACGAAGGCCGATTTCTGATTACGATATCATGGAGTGAATAAAAAAATAAAAAAATAATCATTTTATCATCGAATTCCAGAGTGAAATTGGCTGGGACAATGGAACAATTGACGGATATTCACTCGAATTTCCAACTTCTCCATGGTCCTTATGTTGAACAGTTGATCAACTGGGAGAAGGAGAGAAAGGTTTTTTTTAAGGAAAAAATTAGAAAAATTTCTTCAGGAGAGAAGAAAGATTTTTTGAAGATTTTCATCTCAAAACAGGAATTTTTTTGAAGTTTATTGGAAAAATCTCTCTTTATTTAAAGAGCTTGAGGGATTTTTTTAGATAAGTGGAAAAAAATATTGAATTTTTCACAAATTTTTCATCGATTTCATGAACTTCTACACCTTCTCCATATATATTTGATGAAAAAAAGAATGATTTTTTGAAGTTGCGAAAATTTTTTTTAAAAAAAGTCAGAAAGTAACTTTCTAATGTCCCGATTCGTTACTTAAAAATTCTTTTCAAGAAAAAAAGATATTTATTTAAATTTATATGAGCAGAAGTAATATATCCGTGACGCGGACAAGGTAAAGGTCCAGGTGCTTATTGCGCTGTTTTGGACTTGAAATGGATTTGGCGACGTTTCGAAATAATTAAAAATTCAATTCCGTGTCGAATGGTACCCATCCTGTATAAAATTAAGATTTTTCGAAAACTAATCTGATTTTTTTTAAATTTTTTCCTTCTAAATACAAAAATTTTTAGTTTTTTTCAAATGAAGTATTTGTTGAAAGTTCTTTCAGTTCTTTTTTTCTGAAAAATTTGAGGGTTTTTTTACACGGATAGAAAATTGAATATTCAAAAAAATTGAATGGAAATAATGACTCTTCTCAATTTTATAAAGGGAAAAAAACGGGAATTTATGGTATTTTTTTGTTGAAAAATAGCATTTTACGATTTAAAATCGACCGATTTCTACTCAATTTTCAGAGAAAGAAGTAAATATTCGGAAGGAATGATTTTAATGAATGTAATGAATTCTTTGAAGGTGATGGAAGGAGAAGAAGTCGGAGAACTGAAAACGAGGTTCAAGGCCAGCAACCGCAATGATAAGTATCATGTTAGTTTTTCCATTATTCTTCGAAATCAACCTATTTTTTCCAGCTTTGCGTGGAAAATGGCATCGGAGAACTCGTCGGAAGGTTCGGATTAACGGCCAAACAATTCGCCGAGAATCTGGAGTGGAAAAAGCACGAAGTCGAGCAGGAATCGGTCAGAAATAGTTATAAAAAAAATTTTATCTGGAAAAATTGCCCGATTTTTATTTGAGTTTAATGTTTCAAAACGACTTGAATTTCTCTGAATTAGCGATCTTAATACTGTATTCCATACAACTAAATTATTGATTTAATTTAATTTGAAATTTTGATTTTTCCTATTTTTGTAGTATTAGTTGAAAAGTCCCGTTAAGGCGCAGATTCGGCTGAACAGCTTTTCGCCTTGAGACCTAATCAAAGTTTGACCATGCTCCTTTAAACAGCCATAATTTTGAGTTTTCAAAAAAATTATTGCTTTTATCCAAAAAAGGCGTTGGAACAAAATAAAGAGTTCAAAATACTTCAAATTTAGGAATTTTTGTGATTTCATCGAGAAATCGTTGATAAACTCAAAAATACTCTGTTTCTGAGACGTTTCGGACATTTTCTGAAAAATTTTTTCTCCAGGATCCCCCAGGAGTCGTCGCTCAGGAATACATCACTTCTGCCTTTCCCTCCGTCGAAGTGGTCCTCGAAGGGGCCAAATATATGCTCGCCAGAGAGATCAGTCGACTTCCCTTGGTTGGTTTTCAGTTGTAAAATCTTTGAAAACTCCCTTTTTTCGCATTATTCTCATTTCCGCCGAAAAACGCTCTCGAAAACTATTTTTCACACAGCTGGTTCCGATTTCAAGTTCAAAAAAGCTCAAAAATCACTAAATCGCATCTTTTTTGCGGCATTTTTTGAACTCTTAGACGACTAAAAATCAAGAATTTTGAGCATTTTTTTAAGAAGAAAAAAATTTGGACTGAAAAAAACTTCGAAATTTTTCAAATAATGGCCATTTTTTTCAAAAAGCGACTGAGTTTTTTTCAGCATGCCTCAAGATTCAATTTGAAATAATTTTTAGTTGATTTTGACGAAAAAAACCTTGAAAGTAACTGAATTCACCGTTTCTCGAAAGGATCAAAGAAAAAAGGCAATCGTACTCCAATGTTTCGAAATTCACGCATTTTCAATAAGAATAAAAAAATTTGGACTGAAAAAAACTTCAAAAATTTTTCACTTTCAAAAAGCGATCGACTTTTTCCAGCATGCCTCAAGATTCATTTTAAAGTAGTTCTAGTCGATTTCGACGAAAAAAAGCCTCGAAAATAACTAGAATTACCGTTTCTCGAACGGATCAAAGAAAAAAGGGCAATCGTACGCCAATTCTCATTTCGGTTGTAAGATTAACACAGAAAGTCGTACCCTTTACAAAAAAGAAAAAAAAAACTATTTTAATTATTGATTCGAATCGAATCATCATATTAACGAGTAGAAAATTGAATTTATTGGTCACTTAAGGTCCGAGAAAAGGTCCGTAAAGAATATCGAAACAAGGCGATGGTCTGGGTTCGGCCAACCAAAAAAGGCCGCGACACTTTGGACGAATCTCATCCGATTTGGGAAAAGAGGTACCTTTTTGGTGGAAAAAAATGCTACACTTCCAAGTTTCTTGAAAATGTCTAGCCTGTCTGCGCTCTCTTTTCTCTCTCTCTCTCTCTCTTCCTCGTAGAAAAATGAGAAAGCATGATTCAAAAAATAGGTTGAAAGGAGAGTGCTCTGTGAGCTTAACAGTCGATTTTCACAACTTCTAGGTATTTTTTGTCTGACCTGTCTGCGCTCTCTTCTCTCTCGCTCATGTGAAATTTTAGAAAATCTTTGAAATCGCAGAGATAATCGACTGATGCATGAAACTGTTCTGAAAAAACGATTTTTTTCAAATTTTTAGCTCAATTTGAACGTATGATTCGTTTTTCTCTGACCTGTCTGCGCTCTCTTTTCTCTCGCCCATAGAAAAATGAACGCTTCATATAATTATAAAAGATTGAAAGGAGAGTGTTCTGAAAGTTTAGAAGTCGATTTGTAACACTTCTAGGTATTTTTTGTCTGGCCTGTCTGCGCTCTATTCTCCCTCGCTCATAGAAAAATGAAAACTTCAAATAATCAGAAAAGATTGAAAGGAAGTTATCCGATAGGTTAGAAATCGATTTTTTCAAATCTTTAGCTCATTTTGAAAGTATTTTCCATTTTTTTCTCTGACCTGTCTGCGCTCTCTTTTTCTCTGCTTTAAGGTTAGAGAAGCGAGATTTCTAATGAGAAGTAGAAAACTTCAAAAACTTCATTTTCAATTAAATTATTGATTTTTTTTTCCAGGTACATCAAAGAAAAGCAGGTGACTCAATTGAGCCACGAAGATTTTCTGTACTATCATTTGCTCAAAGAAACCGGCCTTCTTGAGGTTGGAAATTATCGATTTTCCATTGATTTATCGATTTTTCCAGATAATTATCGATTGTGACACGGAAACGGATCGTGAGACGGGCCACACTTTGGTGAACAGCGTCTTGTCCGAAAAACCTTTCCATAAAGTACGAATTTGCTGTTTCGGGAAGGATATAATTTCAAGCAGTTACAATGGTATCGATTCTAGGACTACGTCTGAACCAGAAAAACGGAAAAATCGAATAAAAAAAGTTATAGTCGAAAATTTTATTTTTTTCTGCTGATTTAGAACAGGTTTTTATCATAAGTTAAGGGCGTAAAATTAATTTTTCAATAATTATTAATAGAAAAACCGGGTAAAAACGTTAGAAAATTGAATTTGAACAGGGAAATTAAAAATCTTTAAAAAAATCTGCGCTTGAGCCTCAAGTTTGCTCATGACAAAGTTGATTTAGTCAGCTCTATGATTTCAAATTTAATGAATCCTTTAATACGAAATTCTCCAATTTTAGGACGAGTATACGGAATCCGTGGAACAATGGAACGCCCTGAGAGACGAATGTTCACGGATGGCCATTGAAGAGATGTTGATCCCGTACATCAAAGAGGAATTGTACAACACCCTGTTGGAGGAGGCCAAGCAGAGCGTTATCAGGGTTCGTTTGGACGTAGGAAAAATCAAAATGGTCGAAAAATGGTCCATAGAAATGTTCTTTTTTTGGCTGCTTTTTTGCGCCATTTTCTCAGCTCTTATGCACCATTTTTGCTGCCTTTTCGCTGCCTTTTTTGAGCCGGTCCCTTTTAGCAGCCAAAATCCATCATTCCGACTTTGCCCGAGCCTTTTTTCCGATTTTCACTCGATTTTTTTCATTCTCTGTGTGTTTTTTCTGTCTATTTCATATTCCCGTTTGTTGTACGTTTCTGAGGAATGATTTATGATTCAACTTAAGAAAATCTGCGTTTACTGTCGGTTCATGGGGTGTTCGTTTCAAATAAGGAATCAGAGGAAAGTATCGTGATAAAAAAAGAAAGACTCTGGAAAAATGCACTAGTTTTTAATTACTACCACCTTTTTTTTGTTTTCCAGGTTTTCAATATTTTCTCTCCAGGATGATTTTTTTCTCTCAGTTTTTTGGTTTTTATTCAATCTATGTCCTAATAGAATATATTTTTAGTGGAAATCCGTATCAAAAAAACTCATCAATACACTCAAAAAAATATTTGGAAATTCAGTAGAGTCTTGATTTTTTTTAGAAGACGAATATCAATTAAAATACAAAAAAACGAGGGAGAAGTTTTTTTAAAAATGCAAAAAGCAAAATATAAAAAAATTCTTATTTTCTTCCCATCATTTCATTTTTTTCAAAAGTGCAATTCAGTTTGACGGAGTCATGTTCTTTTCTGAAAAAAATAGGAATTTTATAAGATTTTTTTAACGAACAAAAAAATGAATAAATAGTGATGATTTAATGAACAGTTTTTTGATGAAAATGAGAGAAATCAGGATTTTTTTCTTCACATTTTTCCTTTCAACGTAACGTGAGAAAAATTCTCAAGTCATAGATGAATTTTTTGAGAACTCTTTTAAATGGAAAAATGAGGGAACTTCAATTTTCTGTGATTCTTTTTATGGGAAATATGGTCTGTTCAGATTTTGAATGTAAAGTCGTCGCTCAAGCTCCGCCCCTAATGGTGCGATAAACCAATCAGAGAGCGAGCCACCCACAGAGTGTTTTTAAATGACGTCATTGCAGTTGACATTAAAAATCTGAACAGACTATAGTTTTGCGATCGCGGAGCGGTTTTTGGCGGGAAATTCAAAATCAAGTCATTTTTCATCAAGGTTTTTTGATAATTCTTTCTTTCACGTGGTATATAGTCTGTTCAGATTTTGAATGTCAAGTCGTCGCTCAAGCTCCGCCCATAATGCTGCGATAAACCAATAAGAGAGCGATCCATCCACAGAGCATTTTCGAATGACGACATTGCACTTGACATTCAAAATCTGAACAGACTTTAGCGGAAGGAGTTTATGTGAATTCAATTTTCGATTTTTTTTTTATCGTTTCCCCATCAAACTTTGCTTTGAAATGACTTCATTTTTTTCCAGAAATGCACGGAAAATCTGTCCCAACGGCTCTCTCGGGCCGGCTATAAGCCGCCGCCGGAAGAAATCGACGAGGACGACGATACGGAAAGACATGTAATATTAATCCCGACAATGGAAATTATTTCACTTTGCGCTTGGAATTTTTTTGAAAACTACTCCTTGATGTTCCAAAAGAAGGTTCTGAAAGTCTCAATCTACACAAGTTTCTAGTTTTTGAGAAATGGGGGCTTATTTTTAAGGATTTTTAGGTTTTTCTTTGACTTTTCGGTGGTGTCTTTTCAGACTATACTGATCAATTTTCAGAAAATTTCCAAACCACATAATGAAATGACCTTGAAAAATCAAAAAAATATAATCAATTAAATGTTTCAAGGGCCACGTTCGAATCATGGCGATCGTCTATCCGACGGAACGGGAAGAAGCTTCCTTCGGAATAATGGTGGATGAGAATGGAAGTGTGGTGGACTACCTTCGGATGGTTCATTTCACGAAACGAGGATTCGGACAGGACGGCCAGAATCAGAGGCTCAAAGTCAGTGTTTGAGCCGCATTTTTGATGAAAAGCTTGAAATTTGAGATTTTCCGAGACCTCCAGAAAGATCTAGAAAACTTTAGAAAACCTAAAAAGCTCTAGAAAATTTTTAAAACTTCTAGGAAACTTTCGAAACCATTCAAAAATCTAGAAAGCTCTAGACAACTTCAGAGAGATCTAGAAACATATAGAAAAACTCTAGAAAGCTTCAGAAAACTTAATAAAAAAACATTTATAAACTTTGAAAAATATCTAAAAAAATTTTTATAAAGCTCCAGAAAACTTAAAAAGACTATGAGAAGCTTCAAAAAAATTTGAAACCTGCAGAAAAACGTTTGGAGTTTCTTGGAAAAATATGTAAAGCCTTAGAAAACTTTAAAAAAATCAAAACTGAAAAAAACGGATTTTCACATTAAAAAAAGCTTAGTATTCAAAGACTTACGAAAACTTTAGAAAAACTCTGAAAAAAATAAAAAAATGCTTTTAAAAAAATTCAAATAACTTTGAGAGTTGGAAAAAACCCAAAATCAAATTTTTCGATAGAATTTTCATGGAGCAGTTTACAAAGATAATCTCTATTTTTTTCGAAAGCATGATAATCGGTTTTTCGGTTCATTATGAGAAAGTCGAATTACCTTAAAAAAAGTCAGAATTCAAAGTATTTACGGCGCAAATTTCAACGAAAACTGGAAATGAGCCAAAAAAATCAATAAGCTATTTTTTTAAAAAAACACAATCAAAACAGGAAAAATTAGATCTTTTTTTCAAATTTAAACAGATTATTTCCCTTTGGAAGAAAAAAATTTCAATCGTATGATTTTTTTATTTTTTTGCAGGCCGAATCGATGGACTTTTTCAAAAAAAGTTCGTCACGAAACGGCGGCCCCACGCAATCGCATTAAATGCGGAGGACATGGAGGCTATAAGACTCAAGGTTTTTGAGATGAAAAAAATTATTTTAAAGTATTCAGAGAGATTTGGAGGATGCCATCAATAGTTTGGTGGAAACCAATGCGATCCCCAGGAGAATTGAAGTTGGTTTTTTTGATGAAAAATTCAAGATTTTATAGGATTTTTTTGAGGTTTTCTTGATCGATTGCGACGCTTCCAAGGTCTTCATGCGATCGAATACAGCTGCGGTTTGTTGAAAAATGATTTCAATTGAAGAAAATGACTAAAAATTGAGGGAAAATAGAGTTTTCTAGACGGTTTTATGGATATTTTAGGGGAAAATTGGTTTTTCTTGCAAGTTTTAGGATTAATTTTTGAGAAATTTAGCTTTTTCTAGACGGTTTTTTTGGATATTTTTTTGAGAAATTTGATATTGAAAGCTATTCATTTTTTTATGTTTTATGAAAAAAATTGATTTTTTTCTAGACATATTTTGGAAGGATTTTTTTGAAAAAAATTGATTTTTTTCTAAACGGTTTTATCAATATTTTTTTTAAGAAAAATTAGATTTTTTTGAAAAACTGTTTTTTTAATGTTTTTTTCTAGAAAAATTGATTTTTTTCCAGATAGTTTAGTAGTTTTTTTGAAAAAGAAATAGATTTTTTTAGACATTTTTATGAAAAAAATTTCAAATGGAAGTTTGGTGATAGTTCTGGGGGATTTTTTTCGAGAAAAATTAGATTTTTCTGCGTAATGTTTTCGAAAGAAAGTTGATTTTTTTCAAGACAGTTTTTTTGAAATTTTTCGAATCTGCATTTTTTTGTCTGTCATTTTAGGAATAATATTTGGGGAAATTGACTTTTCGTGGCAATATTATGAATATCTTTCCGAGAAATTCGATTTTTTTAGACGTTTTATGTATATTTTTTTCCGGAAAATTAGATTTTTTTCTTGGTGTTTTTTTGGAACTTTTTTTGATAGAAATTTGATTTTTTTTAGACAGTTTTTTTAAATTATTTTTTTCACATATATAAGCCTTTTTTTACTTGATTTTGAAGCTTAAAAAAATTTCATTCTCTCGAAAAAAATTCTCAGAAAAAAATGAATTTAGTTTTGACATTTTAATAAAAAAAGCTTCCGTTTTAACGGTCTTTTTCGAGTGGAACCTCTAGAAAAAAAAAAAGGAAAGAAATAAAGCTTTTAAAAAAAAATTTTTCGTTCATTTTTCCTCCCTCTTTTAGCTGGAACACCCTGATTATCCGCCCGCCCTGCGACAAGCCGTCTCTTTGGCCCGACTTTTGTTGGACCCAGTGCCCGAGTACGGCCATTTGTGGAATTCCGACGAGGACTTCTTCTGCATGGCTTTCCATCCGCTCCAGAGGGACGTCAATCAGGTAATACTTCAGGAAAAAAATTCTAATTTTTTTTTGCGGGGGGAAATGGATCATATTTTTGATTTTTCTCTGTTTAGGAAAAGAATACTTTGAATTCAATACAAAATGGCTCTACATTTTCTTTTTTTAATACTTTCTGACGCTTTTGGTTCCTAATTCCTGAAAAAAAATTAAAGTTTTACCTAATTTTTTTCTGGTTTTTTTCCACTCATAAGCAGAGCCGGAAAGGGTGGAAAAAGGCTCCAGAGAAATTTTCCTTTTAGGGAGATGAATGCTCCTTTTTTGCTGCCTCTCCCTTTTTCCACTATTTTCTGAGTCTTTGAAATTTTTAGAAAAATGGAAGGTTCGATAAAGGGACTATTTTTGCTGCCTTTTTGCGCCATTTTCTCAGCCCTTATGCACCATTTTCGCAGCCTCTCCCTTTTTCCACCATTTCTTGACCCTAAAAATTCTAGAAATATGAAAGGTTCGGTATAGGGACTTTTTTGATGCCTTTTCCATGCCTTTTCGATGCCTTTTTCCTGCCTTTTTGCTGCCTTTCTTCTGTCTTTTTGAGCCTCTCCCTTTTAGCAGCCAAAATCCATCATTCCGACTTTGCCCGAGCCTTTTTTCCGATTTTCACTCGATTTTTTTCATTCTCTGTGTCTTTTTTCTGTCTATTTCATATTGCCGTTTGTTGTACGTTTCTGAGGAATGATTTATGATTTAACTTAAGAAAATCTGCGTTTACTGTCGGTTCATGGGGTGTTTGTTTCAAATAAGGAATCAGAGGTAAATATCGTGATAAAAAAAGAATGTTCCTGGAAAAATGCACTAGTTTTCAATTATCACCACCTTTTTTTTGTTTTCCAATTTGTAAATGTTTTTTTTTCCAGAATGATTTTTTGATACGTTTTTGAAAAGGTTTCAATTATTTTTGTGAGAGACTTGAAGGATTTTTTAAAGAATTTGAGTTTTTTTTCTTTTTTAGGATGAGCTAGGAATTTTTTTTTCTAGAAGTACTATTTTGAACATTTTTTTTGATTTTTAGTTTTTTTGAATTTTTAGAAAGGATTTTTTTTCTAGGATTATTATCGAATATCTTTTTTTTCTGACCATTTTTCAAGATTTTGTGAATTTTTTTTTTCAGGAAGAGCTGTCCAACGCCCTTCTCCATCAGTTCATGAACCGTGTCAACGAAATCGGCGTCGATATTAACAAGTTTTCGTCGAAAAAAAAATATCCAAAAAATCAAAAATGCCTTCAGATGCATCGAATTCCCCCACTACACGAATCTGCTGCAATTCGTGGCGGGTCTCGGTCCCAGAAAAGCCACCCAACTGCTCAAAATCATCAAACAGAACGACAACATGGTAGAGAGCCGCACGAAACTCGTCACCGGCTGCAAATTGGGCCCCAAAATCTTCATGAACTGCTCGGGATTCCTCAAAATCGACACGTTCAAGGTGTGTGGTGGGAAAAAAGAAGAAAGTTAGAAAATGAAAGGAAATTTTTGAAAACTTGCGCAAAAATCAGAAAGCTTACCCTAAGCATTTTTCAATCCTATAATTTTTAACTTAAAACAATTCGAAAAAAAAAATTCGATACCCAAAAGAAGAAATTCGGAAATACGAGATTTAAAAAAAAACTGGAACTTTTGAACTTTCCGAAGAATTTTCAGCAAAAAGAAAATTTGCTTTTTTTGAGGTTTAAAAGTTTTTTTGAGCTTATTTTAAAGAAAGTTTTGATAGATATATTCAGGCTATTCAAGAAATCTAGGAAAGGAAAATTCCAAAAAGACACAGAATCTTATAGAAAAATAGAGCTTCCTTTTTTTCTGCAAGTTTTTTTGAATGCTCCTGAGAGGTTCAGAAAGCGTTTTTTTCAAAAGGCATCTGAAATGGAGGATTACCTGTAATTCATTGATTTATTTTGAATCCAATAAATTTATAATACTGAGATATTTTTTTGAAGAAAAATTGAGCAACCATCTTTTTTTCGAAAAAAAGGTACATTTGAACTTTTTTTCAAAGAGCATGAGAATTTATGGAATAAAAACTGAAATAAATATACCTTCAAAAATCTTAAAATTTGGCAATTGAGCGTAAAACTAGTCATTTTGACTCTTAAAAATCTTAAAATTCTAAAAATTGAACATAAAAGTTTAAATTGTGATCCTAAAAACTTGAAATTTCAAAAATTGAAGATCGGCGAGAAGACGGAAGCTTACGTAGAGGTGCTCGACGGCTCGCGCGTCCATCCGGAAACCTACGAATGGGCCCGGAAAATGGCGGTCGACGCCTTGGAAGTGGACGAGTCTGCGGATCCGACGACGGCCCTCATGGAGATCATGGAGACTCCGGATCGCCTCAAAGACCTCGATCTGGACGCCTTCGCCGAGGAGTTGAACCGACAAGTTGGACAGAATCTGTTGAATTTTGACGGATTCTTGGATTTTAGGGCTTTGGCGAGAAAAAGGCGACCTTGTATGATATTTCGAGCGAATTGACCTCCAGGTACAAGGATAACCGGCCGCCTTTCGAGCCCCTGGATAATGAGGTAAAAGAGGGAAATATCGAGTCAGCAAATAATCAATTTATGGATCGATTATCAGTAGAATTCCAAATTCAAAAATTCAAAAATCGCAATTTTGACAATTTCGAAGAAATATGGTTCAATTCTCAGCTTGACTCTTGAAAATATCGATTCTCAGTGGAAATATTCGACCAATTCATCAGCTGTTAATTTTGATTTTTTTTTTATTAATTTTGTAAGACTTTTTTTAGGTTCATTTTTTTCATGAAATTCCATTAATTATTTTTTTTTCTTTTTTTGCAACCCTTGGACATTGAGACAAGGAAAAACAGCGCAATCCAAAAAAATTTTTCATCAAATAGCTAAAAATTGAGAATAACAACGGCTTAGAAGGAAGAAGAGCCAATTTTCAGCTTGGAACTTTAAGATTTTGATTTTCAATAGGAATAACCCCCGTTCGAAAAAAAGGTTCATTCAAATTTCAAAAAAATCGCAATTTTGACAACTGTGAGGAAGATGATTCAAGTTTCAGCATTGATCTGAAAAAAAGTTCGATTTTCAGTAAGAATAACCCCCTCTCTCGAAAAAGGTTCATCCAAAAATTCGAAATTCGCAATGAATGTACAATTTTCAACCTGGGTCTTCAAAAATATGTCTTTCAAGTCTGGCTTTTTTTTTGCTTAAAAGTTAAAGTCGAGTTTAAAGCTTCAAGATTTCTTCAGATTTTCGAGGATTTTTTATTCCAGTTTTTAAAATTTTTGACGATTTTGGCAAGAATATCTTGTTCAGAAACTGTTCGATTTGCTCACGAAATCCGGAAAACCCTTGAAAGAAGGCCAAAGAGTTATGGGAACCGTCGTGGCCGTTCAGTACAAGCGGAACGATGTCGAACAGGTGAGGAAATGAAACATATATTTATTTATGGGAATAGAAGCGAAAAAATTGGAAAATATGCTGAATTTTCATTCGTACAGCTATTACTTTTGAATTTAGAGGACAGTGAATATTATTATCATTTCAAATGACTTTCCAGGACAACTGTCCAGTGGCCACCACCGACGGCAACAACATGTTCAGATGTCCCAACTGCAAGGAATTCACGACTTCGGAACCCGCCAAAGTGCAAAGTCATCTGTTGAAAAAGGTTTGAAAAATCCAAAAACTAATTTTGATGATTTTTATCCTAAGAATTTTTTCTCTCAAAGTTTTTTTAAATTAGATACAATCAAATATATTCTGAAACCATGTTTTGATAAATTAAAAAAAGCTTTCATCTTAAAAAAATATTAATAAGGATATATAAGATTTTTTTTCTGGGTAAAAAAAGAATTGAGGAAAAACAATGATTTTTCGAAAAAAATACCTGTTTCGAATTTCATCATTTTTTTCAAATGTTTTGAACTTTAAAAAAATTTCGATGGAAATTTTTTTGAACTACACCAAAAAAATTCGGTAAAAATATTGATTTTTGAGGAATATTCGATCTGTAACGCCAGTTTCCATGATATTTTTTGGCAAAAAAGTGACATTGAAAAAAGAAGTTTACTGGTTTTCAAAGGCTTCGAACTCGAGAATAACGGTACTTCACATGATATTCCCGACAGAAAAAGAATTTTACAAAAATAAACCGTATTCAACTTTTTGAACTGGAAAATTGGCATATTTTCGACAGGAATTTTAGAACTAAACCAAAAAAAATTCGACAAAAACTGAGATTTTTTGAAGAATATCCGCGACGGCGGATGTCCTGGAACCCCCGTCGGCGTAAAAGTTCGCCTGGACAATGGAGTTATGGGCTTCGTGAGGAACAAGGACATCTCCAAGGACAACGTCGACAACCCTCTGAAACGGGTCAAGGTTTCAAAATTTTTGAATTTTTCTCGAAAAAATGATATTTTTCAGATCAATCAGCCGTACTATTTCAAGGTGCTGAAAATTGAGAAAGATCGATTTTCGGCTTTGCTCAGCTGCAAGTGAGTTTGAGAGAAGGGAAAAAAATATTAAATAGTTCAGAAAAATCTTCTATGCAGTTTAATTTTCTTTCAAATTAAGAATAACGATGCAAAAAAAGGACGAAAAATGAATATAAGAGATTGGCAAAAAGATTTCGAAATCGATAGGAGGATTGTTCTCCCAAAACGCAACTTTTACGGGTTATTCATGATTTATTCACTTAAATGATCACTTTGGTTAATTAAAAAGAGAAAAAAATTTGGTTTAAATATATTTTATAACATTTTTTTCGCGGACATTTCCATCAGAAAAAAACTCGAATTTTTTTAGCACACAATACCGTTTTATAGGAAACATAATAAAAGAGAAATTAGTGAGTAAATGTTTACCTTCGTGTGGAATACTATAAAGCACGGGCGTTCACAAAATGCCACCGCATTTTTTTGGATCTTCACGGCAAATTAATAAAAAAACAGACGTTTCTAAATCTTATCTCTTTCACTTTTTTTCCGGCAATTTTTCAAATTTTATATTTTTTTCCCATCTTTCATTTTGAAAAAAAGTGATACCAAGGCGAAATCAATAAATTCATTGCGATAAATTTTTGATTGCTTGAAAAAAACTTTGCATGAAGAGTTTCTGAAACGATTTCATACAGTTCATAATTCTGCAATAAACCAGATTTCAGGTGAAAAATTTAATAAGGAACGAAATAAGTATTCAAAAAAATTGTTTAAAAAAATAGATACTGTCAAAAAAATAAAAAAATAGGCACTAATACATTGATTTGAAAAAAACAATAGAAAAAAATGGAAAGAATTTTTTTTAAAAGAATAAGGAAAAACGCCCGTATTTTTATTAATTCGAAGTAAACTTTAAAAAATTTTTCACTTTGTAAAAAGAAAAATTTTTGAACCTTTTTTTCTGCATGATTTCTGATTCATTACGGGATTTCATGAAACTTTGAAAAAAATGTTAACTCTGCAACAAAAAAAAATCCAGTAAATCGTCAGAAAAAAAAGTGTTTTTTAAATCGAAATTGTTTCCTAACGACTCAAAAAAATAAATTATTGTTTTTTTTGTGTCCTGAAGGTGTTGAAATATATTTCAGCCGAATTTTGTCAAACTTTAAAAATCGCTTCCTTTCCACATTTTCACTGGTTTTTTCAAACTTTATGACCATTTTTACACGAAATCTAGTATTTTTTCTTTTTTTCAGGTCTTCTGATCTTCAAGCGATTGACGAAGAAATCCGAGACACCTACTGGGACGAAGATGCTCATCAGATGGACATCCAGGAAACCGCCGCCGACGCTTTGAAGAAAAAAGTTGAAAAAAATCCGGATTTTCGAAGTTTATTTGACTTTTTCGTACAGGAGGAAGGCACGAGGGTGAAACGCGTCATTTCTCATCCCAACTTCCACAATATTTCCTTCGATCAGGCCCGGAAGCTTCTGGATTCTTTGGATTGGGTAGGTTTCTGTTGGGTTAATGGGAAATAGAGAAGGGAAAGTTGAAAATTTTCCGATTTTTGAAGAAATCATTGGATTTTAACAAGTAATAATGAATAGGAAGATCAAAAATACCACTTTTTCAACATTTGTAAGGACATTTTTCAAGTTTTTCAAGCTTGAAAGCTACTAGATTCTTTGGATTGCGTAGCTTTTTGAAGGGGAATCGAAAATGTCATATTTCACCAGAAAATAAAGGATGGTATGCTCGAAATTCAACAATTTCAAGGAAATTTCCAAGTTTTTCCATTTTTTTCAACGCTTTTTCGAGCTTTTCAAGCTTGATTTTTCAAAAAATACGTTTTTAACGTTATAAAGAATATTTTCCAAATTTTTCGAAGTTGTTCAAGCCGAAAAGTACCGGGATGCTTTGAATTGGGTACTTTCCTATTGGAAAATTTCAGATTTTAACGAAAAATAATGGATGAGAAGCTCAAAAAATACAACTTTTTCAACAATTTCAATTTTTCAAGTTTTTTTCCATTTTTTCAACGCTTTTTCGAGCTTGTCAAGCTTTATTTTACAAAAAATACGTTTGTTTAACGATTTCAAAAATATTTTCCAAATTTTCAAGAGCAAAAGTTGCGTAATCCTTTAAATTGGGTACTTTTCTATAGGAAAATGTCAGATTTTAACAAAAAATAATGGATGAGAAGCTTGAAATATACAATTTTTTTCAACAATTTTAATTTTTTTCAAAGCTTTTTTTTGAGCTTTTTCAAACTCGTTTTTTTACAAAAAAATACGTTTTTAACGACTTAAAGAATATTTTTTTCAAATTTTTTTCGAAGTTTTTTTCAAAGCCGAAAAGTGGCGGGATGCTTTAAATTGGGTACGTTTTTATGGGAAAATGTCAAATTTCAACAAAAAAATAATGGATGAGATGCTCGAAAAAAATACAACTTTTTTTCAACAATTTCAAGGAAGCTTACAAGTTTTTTTCGGTAAAGGAAAAATTATATTTTATAGTTTTAGGGTGAATCTCGGATTCGATGTAGCACAGTAGCTCACAATATTTCAAAACGCTTTTATATATTTTGAGAAACTGGAATTCATGAAATTGATCCATTTTTCAGTCGGAATGCGTTATTCGTCCATCTGCCCATCAGGATAGCAGTCTTTCGGTGACTTGGAAGGTGATTTTTTCATGATTTCCATCTTTTTCAACACTTTTTCAAAAACCACCCCGAAAGTTTTTTTTTACGGTTTCTGCCAACTCCCCTTCCCCCTTTTCTCGTTTTTTGCCAAGTCTCCTTTTTCAGGTCCCACCGAGACTATCCCTTCAAAAGTTCAGAAAATCGTCGAAAAATCAGGCTTTTTCCAGATTTCCGACCGCGTCTACCACAACTTCTTCGTGAAGGAATCCCAGAAAGAACAAGTTTTCTCCCTTGGACGACAACTTATCGTTGGGTTAGTTTAGTTTGCTGTTTCCGAGCTCAGATTTCAGTATTATAATGAGAGTTTCCAATTAATAAATCTATTTTCATTTAAGAGCCGTTTTTTTTTCACAATTTTTCACGTTTCAGTGATGAAAAAAATAGCTCCCAATTTTTTTAAAAACAATCCATTTATTTTTTTGAATCTCAAGAGAATCGAAATACACCGGTAAAAATGGTTCAAGCAAACCGGTTGAAAAAAAGTTGCGTCCGACCAGAAACGACTTTGGTTTTTTGCGATCGACGACATTCAAAATGCTATCTGTGAGATTTTAACATGGTCCGCAGCACTGATAGTTGTTTTGAAAGAGATTCTAGCGTTTCTAGCCGAAAGAAAGGATTTTAAATAACAGAAGTTTTAATTTACTGCGGATTTTTAGGTCTTCAATAAAGAAAAATGACGAAAACCGTCAGAGTGACCCCTAAAGGGACTTGAGGACTCTGAGAATCACCTTACCTCCCTTTAGAAAACAGTATAAAAATGTTGAAAGACCACTAAAGGGACCACTTAATCTTTAGAGGTTCAGGCTTCAATTTTAGCCCTCTAGGAAACACTATTTTGTTCCCCATGGGGGCCGTCGTTTACCCTAACCCCTCTAGGGACCACTTTGGCGTTCCTGCATATTTTTCTTTAGAATAAAGTTCTACAAAATGACAAAAAATGATTCAGAAACGAAGAATTCGAAGATTTGAACGAGTTGGTGGCCCGATTCGTCCAGCCAATGATCCAAAACTCCCATGAAATCACCACGCACAAGGTTTTGACCTCAAAAAATGAATTAAAATAAGGAATTTCCAGTATTTCTACAACGGAGCAGTCGCCGAGGAGATTCCGACCATCGAGGCCTATGTCCACAAGCAGAAAATCGCCCTGGGACGCCTTCCCTACGTTTTCACTGCGTCTCTCGAAAAACCCTGCACTTTCTTCATCTCTTACATGTTCGACCACACCAATCGGATACGACACGAGTACTTTACCAGTGAGTTTCAGGAAGAAATCGTGGAGTAAAATTTTCAGACTCGAAAAAAGAGACCTTTTTCCAGTTTTATTTATTATGATAAAAAAAATGATGAATTTTGCACTGAAAATGGAATAAAGGACTGCGAAAAGCTTCAAATTGGATAAAACTGAAAAATAAGAAATATTCCGAAAAAAATTAGGATAATGGAAAACATTATGAAAAAAAAGGAAATTTATTTTAAAGTTTTGAGGTCGAAATTTGTGATAATCTGGATTAAAAAAAGACATTTTATTTATGAAGCAATACATTTTAGAATGTTTCCGATGCATATACAGAAAGTTCGAGAAAGAACTTTATAATTTGCTTTTTGGGGAATTTGGTCTTGAAACATTTTGCGATCGAAAAGAAGTTGAATTATCTTTTTTTAAATTTTTCAACAGTAAAAAGCTAGTAGTATTCATACCGTTGCAAAAAGATCCTGTAACACTTCTATTTCTACTAGAATCGGTTTATATTCTCAAGCAAAACGGGAAAGCTCCTCGAAAGGATCTCCAAAAAATCTTCTTCACTACACTTTTGCATGTTTTGAACATCCTTTACAAAAAAGCTGGAAAAATACTAAAAAGCTTCCAGGTTATTCAAAAAGGATCCTCTGAGGCTATGAAAAAGGTTCCTTTTTTAAAAACTCCCTGAGACCTTTGTAGTTGCCTACCAGCAAATTATTGATAAAATATGTGAAAAAGATGATCCCATAGAAGCTCTTTTTTGAAGAACATTATGAGAAGGTCGCCCAAAAATACATTTTTCCAACGGCTTTCAATCAATTTCCTAACGTTTTCAGTCCACCCCGGCGGCATCCGCTTCCGACACCAGACGTTCCAGTCTCTGGACCACATGTTGGCCTTCTTCAAGAAGCATTTCAACACGAGACCGCCCGACCCGCGTCAATCCACCCACAGTATCCACAACTCTTTTGATCGTCCTCAAATCCCAGTTGGAAGCGGTGAGAATTTATCATGACAATATACAAAAAATCATTGATTCTTCATTTTAATCATAGGTTTATTCACTGCATACTGTTAGAAAATAATAAATAAAATAGTTCAGAATACGAAATCAGTAGAATAACCAATAGAAAGGGAATCAGAGCAAACGGGAAGGAATAGATTCGAAAAAGGCAGAGTTAGGGAGATCATTAAGTTTAACCCGTAGCGCATCCGTGGAGATGTTAAATTTTTCAACATAGAATCTGGGGAAAAGTGTAGTATTTTGAGCAGAACTAAAATTTAACGTTTGTTGCATTTTTAAAATAAAGTAGGTATTCTATAAACTTTTATACTGTGAAGTAGTTTTCAACACCCTGCAAAAAACTCTAGTGGACACTTAAAAGGTGTCTCGAGGACTACTTGAAAAGTACACTAGAGTGGCCACTAAAACCATCTCTTCAGAAGCCACTTTTTTGCGTCTTAGTAGTCACTCTAGTAGTTTTTGAGATCTAGTAGTACTATCTAGACTTCTAAAGTAGCCACTAGATTTTAGCCACTTAAGTGGTCACTGATTAAACTTCTATAGGGGCCACTAAAAGTTTTCTCAGTAAGTGGTCAATTTTCCCAGTAGTCTGTCCAGTTTTCGTATGTATCATTATAGTGCGAAGAAACTTCAGCCACTAGTTAGACTACTATAGTGGCCACTACGACGTAAAACCCTTAAGAGGTCACTAAAAATTTTCCCAGCCTAATCAATCTGTGGGATTTTTAGCTCGGACCTTAGTAACGCAAACTAGACACCAAAATTCGGGCATTTCTAGGGGTCACTTTAGCAGCGTCAGCACCCTTAAGAGATCCCTAGAACCCTGCAGAAACGTCCGGTTTGCATGACAGAGGTTCGAGAACACAAACCGGATGCTTCTGATCATTTCTAGTGCTCATTTTAGTGGCGTCAGAACTCTTAAGTGATCCCTCGAGTTGCTCAAAAACGATTTCGAAAAAAAAAACCTAAACGATCCATTTTTGCAGGCTATCGCCGATAACGCCCTCGTCCGAAATCTCCAATAATTCCAGCATTCTTATCAATCAGATCCCTTTTTTCTTCTTCTTGAATCCTCGGGTTGATCATTTGTTTCGTGAAGTTTTTGTTGTTTTCCACCTTTTTTTTGATTCTGGCCGTTTTCCTGTTGTTATCTTTCCACCCTACTGTTTTATTCTCATTTATCGAATCCCAAAACGGTCGCCAAAAGTTTTTCCCACGTTTTTAAAATGAAATTTTTGATCCCAAGCGCTGGTGAACATGTTAAAGTCTGTTCAGATTTTGAATTTCACGTCGTGGCTCAAGCTCCGCCCCTAAAGACTCGAGAAACCAATCAGAGAGCCTTCTCCAATGACGTCATTGACATTCAAAACATGAACAAACTATATTTATCATCCTTTTCGTTTGTTTGATCATTGTATTTTTGGTGCGACGATAAAGATTTTCCAATGAGATCCATTTTTGGAAGTTTCGAAAAGGTCTGTGCAATTCTAATACATTGAAATCAGTTTTGTTGCTCTTTTTGAAATGATTTCGAAAAGAAATGGACGACGAAGAAAGCGCCTTGACGAAGACGTGTAACTTTAACACGGCGCCGAGGTTAGTTTTGAAAAAAATATTTTTAAATTTTTTTAAAAATTTTATTTGATTGATTGATTGATTTGATTTTTTTAGTTTGAATGACGTTTTTTTGAAAAAAATGATATGTGAAAAAAATTGACTGGTTTTTTTGAATTTTTGAATTTTTCCCTTCATTTTTTTCAGAAAGCTTCTTAATATTTTGAACTTTTTTTGTTTTCTTTTTTTCAATGAGAATCTGAATTTTTACTCGATATCTCTTTCTCATAAGAAATTGTCAAAGTAAAACTATATAAATCTATTTTTTTCTAGAAAAATATTTCGATCGCGAACTAAATTTCTTAAAAAAATATGAAATATTATTTAATATAATAACTGTAATAATGACACTGTCAACTTTTTCTTACAAAATTTAACAAATTATTTGATTTTTTATAGATTTTTTTGATAGCTCATGACTTTACTTGGTTTGAAAATAAATATTTTGGAGCTTCCAGACGGCCGCCCAAAAAAGGCGACGTCCAGACGATCGCAACGTCTGAAAAAGCTTTCGAAGGTACGCAATCGATTAAAATTTCATTTTTGAAGGGGTATTGATCGATTTTTCACAGGGATATGGATGCATAGTGAAAAAAATTCTTGTAGAGCCTTATTTCTTCACTTTTTACGTGAAACCCTAGCTTTATGAGAATCAAAAAAAAATTTATGTCGAAAGGAGTTTTTCGAGTTTTATCGAATATCCAGATCGGCTTTTAATTTTTCTTGAAATCATTATATAATTGCTCCAATTTCGTACAAAAAAACAATCGAAAATGGCTCTTCTCGTGCATTTTCAAGCTTAAATTAAGCGTTAAGTGTTCACTTGAGGTCTAATTTCGCACAAAAACGGTTGCGAAAGGCTTTTTCTCGCGATTTTCAAGCCTGAATTGGAGTTTTTCAAGTCATGATGGTTTTAAGAAAGGTAGAGCAGACTATTTGAATATTCGCATAAAATTTTTTCTTAAAAAAATTAGGTGAGATCCGCTTTAGGTCTAATTTTGTGCTGAAAATGGTTCGGAATGTTTCATAGTCTGAATTGGATTTTTGGCTTTAGATGATTTTCGGTAGGTTGATGAGACCATTTCAATATTCATAATTATTATTTTTCTCAAAAATTGTGATCAAAATTCACTTGAAGTTTAATTTTGTGCTAAAAATAGTCAAGCAATTCTTTTTCTTCACGATTTTCAAGCCTAAATTGGATTTTTCTGGCTTTTCATGATTTGTAGGAGACTATTTCAGTATTAAAATTTACATTTTTTTTCTCAAAAATTTCCTTCAGAACCACTCGAGGAAAAATTTCGACGAAATAATTGCCGAGGAGGAAAAAAATCACCTGTTATATTTGCTACAAAGATATAGCGCATCTCAACGAACAGAGACGGTTTTTTTGTATAAAAAAATAATTAATGATAAAAAAATTGTAATTTTCCAGTTTAATGCATGTGAACAAGTGTGTGGATGAACAGGAATCGGTAGAAAATTACGAAAAAGCGATGAAAAATTGGAAATCGACGGTCGATTGTCCGCTCTGTGGAACCCCGATGCAAAATGGACCGGTATTCTGAAAAAAATAAGGAAAAATTAATTTTGAAACGTTCAAGTTCCGAATCGCGCACTTGAAATCGTGCGCGACGAAGAATAAAATAACGACGTCGAAACTCATCGAAATGGTCGATACGTCGGAAAAAGTCCGAGGTGCCAGAATTCGGAATGGCTTGACTCATACGAGGTTCGTTCTCGGCGCGAAATTCAAAAACTCTGAAGAGTTTAATTTTTGGAAGAATATCGGGAAAAGGCGTTATAGTCCGTTTTCCTGAACTTCTCTGCGCCCTCCTCGTCTCTGAGTGACCCTCTTATTTTGACCTACTATTTTCAAGTTTCTCTGACTCTTCCGATGAGGGAACAGAGAGACGTCCCGGCGAATAGGCTGAGCATTTCAAGTGACCCTGGAGAGTACTGACGTCGCTTGAGGGATTACTAGAATGCTTAAAAACTTACAATTCTCCGAGCCCTCCTCGTCTTTCGTTTCAGAGCATTTCTAGTGACCACTGGAGAGTACTGACGTCGCTTAAGGGATCACTAGAATGCTCAAAAACTAAATCTCTGCACTCTCCTCGCCTCTCGGCTACTCTCTCATATTCAGATGCATTCTTCGTTTTCAAAATGTATCATAAGCTCAAAATGCGGTTCGTTTTCACTTAAGAGCTCACTTTCACATTTTCAACAGATTTATTTCAAGTAATGCTGAGACTTTCAATGCGCAAAAAAATCAATATATTTTTTAAATTTTGAAACGAAGAAAATTCGCCCATTTTTTGTATCTAAATCAACATCTTCTAGCGCCTCGGAGCCGAAAAAAAAAGCGGTGGCCCCAAAAAAGTTGGTCGGAGTTCCGAAAAATCGTGTCGATGAGGATATCCAACTGGCGAAGGCGTTGTCGATGTCAACTTCTGAAGGAGGAAATTCCAGAGGCTCTGAGAACGATGCCAGGATTCTTAGGTGATTCATGAGCTGAAAAATAAATCGATGAGCGGCTGAGAAAAATTAGGAATGTCAGAGTGGTCCCTGGAGGGGCTAGGAGAAAAAAAACAGACTTTACAGGGGACAAAATAGGATCTGATTTATGAGCCTAAAAGCTGAAGTGGCTTCTATAGGGGTTTTTGTTCTGATTTGAAAGATAAAAAGACATGTAATGATCATCAGCATGCTCCCCTAGAGTGGCCACTTTTGCATATAGGGGTGGCATGGTGATCCCTTAAGGGGAACCTACAAGAGCCGCTAAGATTGCCCCTCTAGGGACCCCTCAGGCGTGGAAGATACCGTTTTTGATTCGGAACGATAATTTTATTGATGAAAGACAAATTTTCATATGTTATTACCAATATGGGCGTTTTTATATGTATGTTCTCCATACTAAGGATCGGAATGAAGTGTAGCTTAACCTCATTTTTTTTCAATTTCATATTTAAATTAATTTCTTTTTTATTGGATTTTGAAGGTTCTTTTTGGTATGGTCGATGTGCCACGACTTGAAATTTCATGGAACGACACTCCGCTGGGTGGCCGTGAAAGCACCTTGCCTTTGCGAATCTCGGTCGCGCTTTCCATTTTTTCTTTAATTTGAGATTTTGACTATTTCTGTGCGAAAGCAATAATAGTTCCGTTTTTGGCACATAAAAAACAATTAAAAAGTTGTTAAAAAAGGGAAAATATCAAATAAAAGGAAAAAAGGAAAGCGCGACCGAAATTCGCAAAGGCAAGGCGCTTCGCGACAGCGCGCACTAGTTCCACAAGAACATCGGAGTGTCGTTCCATGAAATTTCAAGTCGTGGCGCATCGACTATGAAACAAGGTTTTTTCTAATCTTGAAAGGCTCTCAATACATAAATTACAATGAACTTCGTCTTAATTTTCTCTTTCCACTTGTAAAAATCTTCAGAATCGAAGACGAATCCCGAAATTTGTCGAGAAAACGGCCAAGATCCTACGCGATCGTTGAATTGGCGCCACGGGAATGCCGTTGTGAGGTTATTTTCCTCGGAAAATCAATGAATTATCGAAAAAAATCCATTTCTAGTCAGTCGGTCTCCTCCAAGAAAGGTTCCTGCAAAGTTTCCGGGTCCGAAAATCGAGGGCGAAAAGGAAAAACGACGGGTTCACACAGCAGACCCATCACATGGCACATCTGATTTCCAAAGTTAAAAATTTGGAAAAAAATAACGAAAAATGTGTAATTCAGCTGTCGAGATTCGAGCAATTATCGATTGATTTGCGAAAAATGGCCGACGAACCATCGACCTCTTTTTCAAACTCAACTTTGTTCACTTTGGAGTGTGAGAACGGTAAGATCATATTTCCCCTAAAGGGATCACTTCACGAACTCCTACAGGGGGGAACTAAGCTTGCAAAAGTGACCCCTCCAGGGGACATGCTAGCGATCCTTATACGTCTTTCTAACTTCCCAATAAGAACAAAAAGTAGAAGAGCCCTATAGGGGCCACTTAAGCTTTAGAGGCTTAACGTTCAATCCCTAAACCCCTATAGGGACAATTTAAACTTAAGCCCTCTAGGGAACACCATTTTGTCTCTCTCTATTCCCTGTAGGGACCACTCTGGCGTTACTAAGAAGATTCTCAGGTGGAAAATAAAAAGTAACGCCAGAGTGGTCACTAGAGGGGCAACCTTAAGAAGGATCCCCTCAAGGAACCGCATTATCTACCCTATAGCGGGCACTGAAGCTCGCTAAAGTGCCCACTCTAGGGGAGCACCTTCCTACGTCTTTTTAACTTTTGAATAAGAACAAAAAGTAAAAGAGCACTATAGGACCCACTTAAGCTTTAGAGGCTCACACGGGAAGTGTCAGGTGTCGGACCAGTAACTCCTATAGGGATCACTTGAATTTTACCCCTCTAGGGAGCCCTTAAAGTGGGCATAGCTCATTTTTCGCTGACAGAAATGGGGTGCGAAGTGGTTGCGATGCCTTTTTGGCGCCAATCCGAAAATTGAACCTAGAATCAAACTACAGTGTAGTTTGCTTCAGGAGCTCCTTATCCTCAAAAAAAAATTTCGCAGGACACTTTTTTTTCAAATCATGTTGATTCAGAACGTTTCAAATAGAGCTTTTTCACCATTATTTTTTGTATTTTGCGAATTTTTGTTTGTTCTGAAATCATTAGGGCTCAAAGTTCACGTCAAAAATAAAGAAAGTTCAGGTTGCCTCCAGGTAAACCGTCAAATCTTAAAATGCCGTTCTTCAATACTGCAGAAGGTTCCATTGACCTCCACGACTTTTAAAATCGAAGCTCCCGTTCAGGTTCGTTAAGTATCTTCAATGTTTCAACAGGATTTTTTGTAAAATATTATTATTGTTTTTGGATGTATTGTTAACTCATGTGACTAACAGCCTTTTCGTTTTAGGATTCTGAAATCAAAAATAATTCTTCTTTCGAAATTTGAATTGAAATGACCGCATTTGAAATGGCTCAACGCGTTGCGGTCGCGAAGCGGTTTGATTCAAGTTTTGAAAAGCTACGTTCAACCTAACAATTTTTGCTAGCTTGAGCTACGTTTTAAGTTAAAAATTGTTTCTGAGGTTCTTCAGACCGGCTCGCGTAAATCGCTTCATGGTCGGGCGCACTTTTCAGCGCCGCCTTTAGCTATCCCCCTTACGATCAATATGTATCTCGTCACTTTGAAGGAATTTTTGTTCGCATTTGGAAGGGCTCAACGCGTTGCGGTCGCGAAGCGGTTTGAATCTAGTTTTGTAAAGCTACTTTTAACGTCATAAGTTTGCTAGCTTAAGCTACGTTTAGAGTAAAAAATGTTTCTGAGGTTTTTTATACCGGCTCGCGTAAGTCACATTGAGGTCCGGCGCAATTTTCAGCGACGCTTTGAGCTATTCCCCTCACGATCAACATGTTTCTAGCTTACCAGGGAACGTTTTTTACCCCCCGGTTGAACTTTTGCTGAAACTTTGCTGTACTTTAGGACCCCATGATTCCAGAACAGAAAAAAAATTCTCGCAATAGATTTTGTTTCCGAGTTATGGAGCTTCAAAGTGTGCAAAATACGCAATTTAGGCCAAAAAAGCGCTATTTCGGGCTTTTAAAGTGTCCTAACTCGAAAAGGAGATCTATTGCGAGAAATTTTTTCTTGATCTGCAATCAGGGGGTCCTAAAGTACACTTCGGCAAAGTTTCAGCGAAAGTTCAACCGGGGGGGGGGGTAAAAAACGTTCCCTAGTTAGTTATATTTTGAAGATTTGGAACTTTTTCTTGAAAAAAATCGAAGAAAAATTGTTTTTTTTTATTGTAAAATTTAGGCAGTCCGCCACTGGTTGACTTTTGTATACTCTGCTCAAATCGAATGGCCGGCGAATTTGAACGAGGAAGTTTCGAAGATTGCTGAGAAGTTCGGGCCAGGTTTGTCTTGAAATCGAAAACATAACGATGAAAATTCACGAAAGGTTTCAAAAAATTGAGTTTTTTTAAGAACGCCAGAGTGGTCCCTAGAGGGATAAGTAAGAAGCAGTCCCTATAGTGGGCAGAATTTCGCTCCCTTAAAGGCTAAACTTTAGATAATCCCTATAAAAGTTGAGGGTCTGATTCTTAAGCCTTTTAAGCTCAAGTGGCCCCTTTAGTGGTTTTCCAAGCTTTTGTTTTGTTTTGAAGGTTGAAAATTCGTGTAGGAAACACTAGCATCCCCTAGAGGGGCCACTTTTGCGAGCTCTAGTGCCCCCTATAGGGGAAAGTAAGCTGGTCCTTAGAGTTGAATCTTCAAGGGATCATAAGGTTGCCCCTCTAGGGACCGCTTTGGCGTTCTTGAGTTCCTAACACATTTTTCTTTTTTTTTTTCGAACGGCCGATAAATTTTCCAAGCTTGTGACCGCATGTAGAATGGCTCGACACGTAAAGGCTCGAAGGCGCGACCGACCCAAAACGAGTTGCGCGCGGTTTCATCGAAAAGCGGCATAGGAAGCTGCTATAGATTTTTTAAGCTATATCATGACTTTCTGAACTTTTTTCAAAGTTAAGAAAATCATTTTTCCAGATGGCCTGCTCCAAATCTGCTCCCGAGATCCGCGTAGAACGGATAAATTTGAGCAAGAAGATGTGGGAAAAGTTGAAGACGAGGAAAAAACTGAAGTGAAAAAGAAAATAAAGGAAGAAGGAAAAGCTGAAATAGAAAAAAGTCCCAGAAAAACGGAGACTGGGAAACGGAGATCGAGTCGAAAAGAGGAAGAAAAGCCGATTCCAGAATTGATGATGGTTCGAGTTTTTAACGATTGGTAAACATTTTGAGGAAGGAAAGGAGAATTTAGGAGCTAATTATAAACCTTAAGGGTAGGCAAACTCGAAAAAAAAGGTAGAGCTGAAAAAATAGTATTATAGACAAAAAAAAACCCCCTTTTTTTGCTCACAAGACCTCCCCTGTCAATAGAAAGGGTAGAGTACAAAAATGAAAAAGAAAAAAAAAGTAGATTTTTTCGACTTTTCACAGATTTTTAGGATCAAATTAATCCTGTTCCACTGAAAGTCCTTTTTGAAAAAATCATAAGCTTATTCAAACTTTAGTGAGAAAAAAATCACTTTATTGAAAAATGGACTGATTTTTTAGGGTGACGAAATAAATGATGAAGATCCCTTGCGTGGCTGTTTCGATATCCTCGAAGACTTTGAAGACGTCAAAATCGATTCTGAAGTGATAAAGAAGGATATTCTGACCCTGGACGAAGATTCGCCTCCTTTGAAAAAGATGAATATCAGTTCGGATGGGATTTTTGTGGAGGAAAAGAGGAAAAGCGTGACGAAGGAGACTGTTAAAGGTTGATTTTTGAATTTTAGAGATTATTAAGAAATTTGAAAAATTAGAACGGATGACTATTCTGATTTAAGAACTTTCAAAAATATTTTAATTCGAAACATAAATTTTCCTGGTCAGCTTATCATGTGACTTTTTTGAGATTTATTTTTGTAGTCGCTTTTTTTTTAAGTACCAGGCTTTAATTTCAAGTTTGAGCTTTTACGAACGCTAGAGGGGCCACTATAGAGAGAAATTTAGAGTCCTGGAAGGTACCCCTCTAGGGACCCAAGGGGAAGAGTACCGTTGGTTCAATTTTACAGTTAAGGGTGGATTTTGGAATTTTTGGGATTTATTGAAAAGTTTAAAAAAAAGAAATGATGTATTTTCTGGTTAGAAAACTTAATAAGAAAATAATGAAGTTCAAAAATATTTTAATTTAAAACGATTCCTTCATATTTTTTTCTAGTTAGATTATAATGTGATTCAAGTTTTGAGACCAATTTTTTTGAGAGCCAGACCTTAATTTCAAGTTTGAGCTCTTAGGAACGCCAGAGAGGCCCCTATAGGGGCACACTTAGGGTCCATGAAGGCACCCCTCTAGGGGCCACTTTACCTCCCCTATAGAGGCCACTAAGCCTTTTTTCAGAAGGAAGTTTGATTAGTCTATGGAGGGCTACTCGGCTGGGGAAATAAAGAGATTTGGTGTTTTTATTATTTGATTTTTTTTTTCTAGAAGATTTTTCTGTAATTTTTCAAGTGGACAAGTATCTTTAATTCTATTTTTTTAACCCCCTCGAAAAAGTAAATTTAAAAATTTAAAAATAAAAATAATGGACTAAAAAAATACAAATAACTTTTTCAACTTTACTTGTCCCAAACGTATCAAATTCCGTTTCCTCATCGTACTAGTTTTTTTCGAAAAATTCTAGTCTTTTCAGAGACTATCGAATATGATTAGAGGGAAAAATGTTCATTTTTTTAAAAATTCTGTTCATAAGTTGCCTCATATAAGTTTCAATCGCTTTATATAGTTTCAAAATTTCTTGTTAATCTAATAAACGAAAATGGGTAAGTATCGTCATAAATTTTCACCGTCACTGCTGGTAACATTTTGGTCGCGTTTGGAATGGCTCGATGCGTTGCGGCTAATTAACGCAGCACCCGACTTGAAGCGAGTTGCGCGCAAAGAAATAGGACAGCTCTTGATGGTCAAATGTCGAACCTGAACTTTATCGCGTTGTTTGAGCCAGGAGTTTAAAACTAATGATGTATAAAATTGCACCTGACCTGAAACGACTTGCGCGTACAAGTGTTGAAAAAGGGACACTTTTGAGCGTCAATTTGTCGGACCGCACCGCGATCGCGTCGCTCGAGTCATTCCAAATGCGACCGCAGAGTTTGAAACAAGTGATATATGAACAGGCACCCGACTTGAAACGACTTGCGCGTAGAAGCCTTAGAAAAACTATCGGGACAGCTTTTTAGCGTTAAAATAACCAACTGAAACGCGACCGCGTCGCTTTGAGACATTCCAAATGCGACCACAGAGTTTTAAACAATGGTATATAGAAATGCACCCGACTTGAAACGACTTGCGCGTAGAAGCGTTAGAAAGAGAATCTCGACACTTTTAAGCGTCAAGTTGTCAAACCGCAACGCGACCGCGTCGCTTGAGCCATGCCAAGTGCGACTTCAGCGTTTGAAGCCAGGAATAAATGAACAAAGCTGCTCCTGAAAGATCAGGGCTCCGCTTTTGTGTCATATTTTCAACCGCAACGTGACCGCGTCGCTTCGAGACATTCCAAATGCGACCAAAGCTTTTGAAAAAAGTGAAATATAAGCAGAATGACCTTTAAAGGGGCACATACAATGAAATTATCCATATTAGTCGAGAATAAGTAACCTAGGTTATTTAGAAGTCGAGTATATAGGCCTAGGCCTAAAAGGGCCACTTTTGCAAGCTGTAGGGTCCCCTGTAGGGGTAGGTGAGGTGGTCCCTCAAAGGAACTCTCTAGGGAACACTCTGGAGCTCCTAGGTACCGGATTTTGGAAGTTGTGAAAAAAAAAAATTTCAGAAAAATTCAACCAATCTGACTGCTCTTTTTTCTGCTCTCCAATTCTTTCTTCCACCAAAAATCAGCCGATTATTGATTTGGAAGGTTTTTTTTTGAATGAAAAAGGTATTTTCTTGGTAATATTCAATATTTAGCCCCTTTGAAAGAAGAATCGCCGGAAATTTCGGTCCTAGAGCCTCAAAATTCGTCTTTCAATGCCGATGAGGCTATTATCCAAGGTGATTTTTCCATCTTTCAACAGAATTTTCGGTTTTTTTCCAGAAGATGATCCAGAAATTTCGGTTTTTGAGCCGAAAAAATTGTCTTTCAATGCTGATGAAGCCATGAAAAAAGGTTGGTGGTTTCAATTTTTGATTTTTTCGAACGAGAGGCTCAATATTTTCTGTTTTTGAGTCGAAATTATGGTCTTTCGGTCTAGATTTTTTTCTATCTAATTTGTTTATTTATGAGAAGATTTTTTTATATTTGAGCCACAAAATCAGTCTATTAATAAAGATAGCTTTTTTTAAGAGTTGGTTTTCGATATTCAGCATAAATTTTAGCTTTTTTTCTCAGAAGTTGACTCGAAAAAAATACGGATTTTAAGCTTCAGAAATTTTTTTCTAAGTGTTGATTTTGGAAATTTTTCAGGATTTGAGCTATTAAAATTATCCTTCAATTGATAAAAAAATTGTTAAAAAAAGAGTTTTTCCAGACAAAGATTCTGAATTTTTCGGTTCTAGGAATCGTCTCTTAATGATGATTTTTTTGAAATACGCGAGGCTAGAAAAAAATTGAAAAAAATATTTTAATTAATAGAAAAATTAGGAACTTTTTCAGAAGAAGATGAACCAGAAATTTCGGTTTTCAAGCCTCAGAGTGCGACTTTTTCCGCAGATAAAGCTGAAAATCGAGGTGATTTGATTCATTTTTCAATGAATCAAGTAAAAAAATTAATGATTTTCAGAAGTTGACCCGGAAATTTCGGTCATTGAACCACGGAATTTGTTATTCGCCGAGGAAAAAGTTATTAATCAAGGTAATTTTTATTGTTTTTTTAGTGAATCAAGTGAATCTGGAAACGCTAGAAAGGACCCTGAAGGGGCTACTTTAAGGGAAAATTGAAAGTTTTGCTTCAGGGACCACTTGAGCTTCAGTGACTTAGGAGTCAAATCCTTAACCCCTATAGGGGCCACTTGAGCTTTAGAGACTTAGGAGTCATACCCTTAACCCCTAGAGGGGCCACTTGAGCTCTATAGGGTCTGGGTCAAATCTCATAACCCCTTTAGGGACCCCTCAAGCTTCAGAGACTTAGGGCTCATAGCCTTAACCCCTTTAATGGCCACTCAAGCTTTAGAGACGTAGATGGCGTACCCTTAACCCCTATAGGGGCCTCTTGAGCTTCATATGGTCTGGGACAAAGCTCATAACCCTACAGGGGCCACTCAAGCTTTGGAGACTTAGGTATCATAGCCTAAACTCCTATAGGGGCCACTTAAGCTTTAGAGACTTAGGGATCATACCCTAAACCCCTTTAGGGACCACTTGAGCTTCAGAAACCCTTATAGGGACCAGATAAGTTTTATCCCTCTAGGGAGCACTATCTTGTCCCCTATAGGGACTGTTTTTTCCCTGACCCCTCTAGGGACCACTCTGGCGCCCCTACGAATATTTATAATTTTCAGAAGGTGATCCCGAAATTTCCCACATTTCTTATAACGTTTGGGATCAACCCGACTACAATGACTATGCTGGTTTTTAATTTTGAAGTTGGGACTTTCTTAAAATTTAATCGATTTTAGGCCCGGATTTTTTTAATAACTCTTATTTGCCTTCCAAATACGGTAATGAATCCTTCGTCGGGTCGAAATTTGATGAAGAAATGGAAAAATCGCCTTTGGAAAATATTTCGACGCCAACGGGAAGGAAATCGTCGAGAAAATCGGTTATAGTTGGTTTTGCGGTTTTCAAGAAAGCAATATGTAGAGAAATTATGGAAGTTTTGGGATAGAATTAGAATATTGCTAACGATTTGATTAGGTCATGCTATAAAGTGCGGGCGTTTTTTGTGCTCCACTGCAAATTAATAAAATACGGACGTTTCTCAACCTTAACTCTTTCCCCTTTTCTGGTATAGTCGATGTGCCACGAGTTGAAATTTCATGGAACGACACTCCGCTCGGTGGCCTTGTGGCCGTGATAAACCAATGCCTTTGCGGATCTCGGTCACGCTTTCCCATTTTTTAATTTGCCGTTTTCAAATACATTTTCTTCGATATTTCTTTAGTTTTAAGAACTTTTTGGCAGTGCAATGGATGAATAAAGTTTTTCGGAATGCCAATAATTCAACCAAAGGATAAATAAGCAGTGAAAAACCTTATGTTGACAGAAACCGATCTCTCTATTTCATAGTGCGTACAAGTCTTCATTTTATAAGCCACTCACTTTCTGAAAAAATCCATTAATCATTGCAACAAACAGAAAAAAAAAACCATGAAAACATTAAAACATGACTCAAAAAAAAACACACTTTTTTATCGCTCTTTTCGAGGAAGATCATGAAATTTACTGTGTTCTTTCTTTTAAATTTGTACAACGCAATCCTTTTCAACGATAATATTACATTTTAAAGAAATAAAACAATTAAAAAACGATCAAAATTATAATTAAAACCAAAAAATTAGCGTGGCCGAGGTTGGCAAATTCGCACGATGCGCGCTACCGCACAAATCGAAACAGCGGAGTGTCGTTCCATGAAATTTCGACTTGTGGCACATCGACTATAACACAAACTCGACATTTCTGAGCATTTTAAGGGACCACTTTAGTGGTTTCAGAAGTCTTAAGTTACCCCTAGAACTGCTCAGAAACGTCCGGGGCACGTTTTCGAGAAAATTGAAGTTTTTAGATTTGACGGCTCGAAGGAATTTCCCTAAAGTAGTCATTTTTTCAAAATATTTTTCAGTTTGCAACGAATTTTCTAGCAAAGGAAGTCTAGTAATAAGCTATTTATTTTTTTAAGCTTTTTAAGGGATTTTTTAATGGATTAATAAACAAAATGAAACTAATATTGAAGGTCGCGAAAAAAAGTTCTTCCAGAAGATCCGAAAAAAATATATAATCGAAAAAAACTTTCTCGAGTTTTTAGGAAGATCAGAAACGGGCGGAAAAAAATCGCCTTTTAAAGGATTTTTTTCGATATCAAATGGAAGGAACTCGTCGATAACATCGATAATAGTTCGTTTTACGGTTTTCGAAGATCATTATAAAAAGAAAATATGAATTTTTCGGCGATAAGTATGTTTTTCCCGTTCCATTAGATCTGACTAGTGAGATAACATTGAAATCCAGATACAAAGATTTTTCAGAATAATTTCCCTAAAGTGGTCACTTTGTTCGAAATATGGTTAAAATTTTGCTCGGTTTCTAGAAATTCAAGTCCAAAACTTTTCAAGGTTTTCTTTTTGGAGGACCTCGAAAAAAGGAAAAAAAAACTTCCCGAGAAAGAAAAAGGAAAAAAAAACGGGATTTTCCTATTTCTTGTCCTTTTTTTCATACAAGTTTCGGTTTCCAGGTTTTTAAACTTTATTTAAATTTCTTGTTTGAATCTAGTTAAGATAATCAGGAATTTATGAAGGATTTCGGGTTAGAATTGTGGAAAAAAATGACTTTTTCTCATTTTTGGCTTCTTAGGAAGATCAAAAACGAGAGGAAAAGTCGGAAAATTCGCCTCTGGACAATATTTCAACGCCCACGGGGAGGAATATGTCGCGGAGATCTAGATTGGTCGGTCTTTTCGTTTTTTCAAAGTATTTTGGCTGGGAAATTGATTTCTAAGGCAGTAATTGACACTAGAGGAGCATTTTTATTATCAAAGCGTGAATTTGTTTTTTGAATTTTTGAATTTTTGCAAGTTTCATGTGCTGTTTCGGCTTAAGAAAAAGGTCGTTTTTTTACTGATTTTCTTAGAAATTGTGATATTTTCGAGACTATTAGTTTTGAGAAAAATGAAAAATCAAGAGATTTTTTTAAAAGAATTTTTCTGGCTTATATACAGTCCCGTCAAAAGTATATTAAATTTTGGTTTTTTGAAGATAAATTTTTGAGGTGCGATATCGATTCAAATTTTTTTCATAGTTTTCTGAGAGAGACATACGTGTTCTCAAAGAATAATAATTTTTTTCGAGAAAAAAACGAATTTTCGAAAAAAATCGACTTTTTTTCAATTAAGAAATCATAGCTCAACAAAAAAATGTTTATCAACACAAAACAATGTTAAAACAATATTCGGGGCCTATTACTTGGTGTGTTATACTGCGAAAAAGTATTTGAAAGCCTGAAACTCCATTTTTTGAAAGTTCCAATTTCTTTCTTCATTTTCAGCTGAATCGAAGTGCCCCCGAGGAAGAAGATTCGTTCGACTGCTCGATTATCTTCAAGCCAAACGCTGAATCTTTGGCCCTCGAGGCAAAAACTCCCGTCACGAAGTTTCTGAACAAACCTCAGTGGGTTTTGAGAAGGAAATCGCTAAAAAATAATGAAAAAAATCCGATTTTTTTAACATTTTCTTGAGATTAAATTATTCATCTACCCAGGAAGAAATCACTTTAATTTGAAAGTTTTTGAAAGTTTTTCAAGATATTCCTCGATGTATCTATTGAAGGTTCTAGAAGTATCAACATTCAAAGTTTTTTCCTTGATTTCCATACGTTATTTTAAGAAGTACCTTAAGAAAATTCCAATTTTTCTGAAAATAAAACAGCTACGAAATATGGAAAATCCGATTTTGAACATTTTTGGGAGATGAAATTATTCCTTTACCCAGTAGGGAAGTTTTTATATTTTTTGCATCTTGAAAAAGTTCTGAATATTGGTCAGGATGTTCCTTGACGTAACAGAGCAAGATTCTAAAATCTCGACTTACAAAATTTTCTAATTTTTGAAAAATAAGAGTCGAGTGAGAGAACTTGCATGAGAACATTCGAAACTAGAGTTTTTTTTTCGCTCCTAGAGAACCTTCTCTGTAAAAAGCTCCTTTTTTTCGAAAAAACCCTTTTTTGTATTTCACAACCTTGAAGATACGATTAAAAGGGCAACATTTTGAAAAAGGGTTTTTTTCAGCGTCTTCATTAATAAATATTCTGACTTATTTTGAAAAAGCTCCGAAGTTTTCAAGAAGAAAATAGCTTTGAAAATATGGATAGCTCGTTTTTGAACATTTTTGTGAGACAGTTTATTCCAAAGGGAGGTTTTTTACTTTGCATCTTGAAAAGCTCTGAAAATCGGTTGACATCTCAATTGAAGGGTTCGAGAGTCTCAACTTCCAAAATTTCCTAGCTTTTGAGAAAGAAGGGCTAAAAAAAACTCGAAACAGACAATTTTACACATTTTTGTAAAACTTCGAGACTTTTTTTTTCCTTCTAAATGAATTTTCAACCAACTGAAACAGAAAAAACTCTTCTAACGAAGAAAAAAACGCTTATTTCTGTCCGTAATTTGAAACCTTGAAGATTCGGTTCAAACGTGAAAATCTTGAAAACGACCAACATTACCCCAATGCCGGACTACGACGCGATGGACGATAATATGTTGAAGGTTTTGGCCTTCAGAGAAAAAAATTATGAGATTAAATTTTCCAGATGCATCTGAAGAAAATTGGCCACAAGCCAAGGCCTCGGAAAAAGATGATCGAGACTCTGAAAAAAGCCTATGATATTTTGCACCCGTGTGAGTTTGGGACATTAAAAAAAAGATTTATTTGGCTCAATTTTTCCCAGAATCTCGGTAAAATAGAGATCAATTAGCGTTAGACAGAGCTAATAAAAAAAGCGATATAGCCGAAAAAATTTTTGCCGCGACATCGCGAAACTCCCGCTGTTATATCGCTTCTTCTCATAAGTTTGAACATTCAGAAAAAAATAATTTTTTTGCTTCATTTTTTTTCTTTTTTTATCACTTAATGGATCAAATTGAAGAATAAAAAACTTTGAAGGAAAATTTTTCTGTGAGCGATATTGCGCAATATTCTTGCGATGTAGCGAGCGTTATCGCGTACGTCATAGTGCAGAATATTGGGTGAAGATCATAAATTGTTAAAAATTTGGTCACAAGCTTGGAAAATGAATTTTTTTATTTAATTTGAGGGTTCGAGAATTAAAAAGGAGCATAAAATCCATGAAAAAAACAAATAAATGAGCTGAATTTTTCAAAATTGATAGTATTCAGCAGAAAAATGTTTTCCAATGTTTTATAAGCCAAAATGAGAAATTTCGATTTTTTTTTTGATTTCAGTTTCCTAAAAGCTCGAAAAAATAAATTGAGTTCCTTTTTTGGCAAACAAATCCTTACATGGACAGAACATTTTTAAAATCCGTGACTGAATATCCGTTAGAGTTTGAAAGTCAGGAAAATCAATACCGTTCCAATTTTCGGATTCTTTTATTTCTGTAACAATGATCTTTATGGAGTTGAAACGACTTTTTATACCTTATTTTATTTCGGAAAGTTTTTGTAAGTCCACCCCCTTCTTCTGGACTAATTAACTTTTCACCGGTTCAAGTGTACCCGTACAATTGTTTTCACTATTCGTGAGGGAATTTAAATTCCAGTTGTTACTGGAAAGTTATTTTTGAAAAATGAATGTTTTAACTCAATTTTCGGTTTTTTTTTTTCGATTTCTCTTGAGTTACCTGTTGATTAAACTAAATTTTTAAAATCTTTTTAATTTTTTGAACTTTGAACATTTTCAAGCCTTTTTAGTGAGTAAATGAAGGCTCTTTCTACGGAAGATTTATATTAATGTGACTTTTTTTGAACTTCGAAAAAAGGCGGCAAAATTTATCGCTTTGAATAGTTCAAATTTATTTTTTCAAGTGTAAGGCTGACACTTGTGAGTCGTATAAAAATATTAATTTTTCCAGTGATCGATCCAAATACACCCACTATCCGGCCTCTTCTCTCCTCGAGCGATCCGGAACCGGAAGAAAAGAAGAAAAAAGAAAAAGAGACTAAAGTTCGAGGCTCGAAGAAAGTTGCTCCAGAAGAACCGGAGAAAGATGAATCTGGTTATTTATTTTCTGGTTTTTATAGTCCATTCTGGGAAAGAACCACTTGAAGCCACTATAGTACTCGATTTAGTGGCCATTTCAGTGGCTAAATATTAGTGACCTCTTTAGGAGTCTTACTGGTACTACTAGATCTAGGAAAACTACTATAGTGGCCACTAAAATGCAAAATAGTGGCTTCTAAAGAGGTCATTTTAGTGGTTACTTTAGTGTCCTCTCCAAGTAGTCCTTGAGGAGCCTCTTAAGTGGCCACTAGAGTTTTTCGCGACGGGATTTCTCTGCGCTCTCTTTGTCTCTCGATGACCCTCTCTTATTTTACATGCTATCTATTTTTCTCTAACCTCGCCATTGAGGGAACAGATAGACGCAGACAGGCAGAACGAAAGGATTATAGCAAAATAATGGATTTAGACGACGCCGATGCGGAAAAGACGTTGAATTTGTCGAACGAAGATCCGCCCGAGGAGGAAGTTATCGATGATTGTGGAATCTTGCCAAAGGTTCTAAAGAAACTATAAAAAAGGGGAGATCAAAGGATTTTTAGGACCTTGACGGGATGGCCCAGGCGTTTTTGTGTTGGTTGAGAAGGGAGGAAAACGAGGAATTGCATAATCATATGCTATCCCTGCAGCCAGTGGCTTTGGTAAGTTGAAAAAGATCACTTAAGGGATCACTCGAAAAAATAGGGTAAAATTTTCACTTTTCCTGTTTCATCGGATGTTTTTAGCTACATTTATTCTTTCAAAAAATGTTCACAATTTTTCTTGATAATTTAAAGAAAAAATCGTTCTTCATATATGTTATTTCTTGGATATTTACCTTATTTTGAAGAACTTCAAATTTGAGAAAGCTCACCAAAAAAGTCTCAAAAAAGACTTTCAAGCCTGAAAATTCTATTTTGAACATTTTTAGAACGTGTAACTATTCATGCAGCCACAAGTAAGGTAATTTCACTTTTAAGCTTCCTGAAACTTGGCCAAAACACTCCTTGATGTACTAGAAGAATATTCTGAAAATCTCATCCTGCAAAACGTTTTCGTTTTTGAGAAATAAGGGCTCAAAGCCCAGAAATCGCCAATTTTTAAGAATTCCAGGGCTTTCTGTGACTTTTAGGTGTCTTCTCTCGAAAACTAGGACTTTTTCTAGGTTCGGGCTTTCGGAATAGTTTTCTGATACATCCGCAAAGAACTTGGCCAGTTTTCTGGATATTCCTAACACTAAAGTGGCCACTAAACCCACCTCTATAGTGGCCACTATTTTCCGTTTTAGTGGCCACTATAGAACTTCTCAATTTAGTGGCCTCTTCAGTAGTTTATCATCCAGTATTCCTTCCAGTAACTCTGATAATTTCAAAGCAAACAGATTGGACCGTTTATTTTGATTCATTGACCCATAAAGTGGCCGCTTAAATTTTTAGTGGTCTAGTAGTAGCACTTAGACCTCTACAGTGGCCACTAATTTTCAACCCCTTAAGTGGCCGCTAATTTGACTACTATAGTGGCCACTAAAACGTCAAAACCCTATAGTGGCCACCAAAAATTTTCCCAGTGTATCCTAAAGTCTTTTGAAGAAAGTAACCACAGAAGAGTTGAGGCTGTTCACGGAATCTTTAAAAAAAAAACAGGAAATTTAGTACTTTGAGTAGATTGTGCAAAACATAATTTTCCTCAGGAAGAATTGCTGATCCGACTCGGCAAGGCTGATTCCTCGGTTTGCGGCATCGGAAAGGCAAAATTGGCAGCGATTCTGGACTCGCTCTCGATCAGCTTCCAACTGCCGAGCAATGGAAAAGGCGGCCCAAGGAAGGCTTTTGGTCCCGGGCGTCGGAAATAATTTTCTTTTCATTCTTCATGTTTACGGCTCTTTTGTATCGTTTTTCATGACCTCACAGTTTTACTTGTTTTTCGATGTATTCCTTGTGTAATGAAACTTTTTGCCCTTTTTTTTGGAAGCGAGAAAATATTTACGCGTTTTTCGCTTTTCTCCCTGTTTTTTTAGGACTCACGATCTCCGGTTAACATGGAAGAAAGTATTGAAAAATGTGATTTTTTGATTTTTTTTTTTCTTTTTAAGTTAGAAATTAATTAATCTCTGAATTTTATGTACCAACCGGGCTGAAAAATCAGTTAATCAAAACGAAATTCGGTTTTTTTTTTCGGTATAAGAAGGTTTGATGGGATTTTTATAGGCTCAGATAGCGTTATAAATTAGTTTTCAATCGATAAAATTATATCACAGAATCTCAAAACTGATTTCTAATTTATTGAGGTTGATCGATTTTTGAACCATTTTCAATCAGGTTTTCGGCTCGCTTTTTTTGAAAATCAATAAATTTTTTGTGTACCTGTTTAGAAACGTCAGAGTATCCCTAGAGGGGTTAGGGATGAAATAACTCCTATACGGGACAAAATAGGGCTTTCTAAAGGGCGGAAACTTGAGTGGACACTCTAGGGAATTCGGATTCGGACCCCTAGCAGAGCTGTTCTCAAGTCGGGGCGACCCCGGCCGAGGCCGCCCCGACCCGACCGCGACGCGCCCCTGAGCGCCCCGGCCCGCGAAGCGGTTTTCATTCAGGCCCCCGAAGCGAGCGCGAGGATTTTTTTCCGTATTTTTTTGTTTTTTTATTTTAGTTTTTTTCATATTGAAACTGAATTTTTTTAAGTTATTTATGATCCATGAAAAATTTTAATTTTATTGTTTTTTTGACAGAAATCGTGCTTTTTTTGATTTCACTTTTTTTCGTTTTTTTCTCTTTGTAAACAAATAAAATAATATTTCAAATAGTGGTTTGAATGAATTTTTTGCGAAAATGAAATTCCTGATGATTTGAAAATTTCAATTTATTTTTATTTATTAATTTGTTTTCTCTAGTTCTGTAAATTGTTCTGGCCACTCAGGAAACTATTGAATTTTTGGATTAATATCTCATTTCATCGGTTTTTCTCTTTATGTGCTCGATAATAAATGTTTTTTTGTTTCACTTTCATTTCAGTAAAACTTGCGCTTTCTTATAATTCGCAAAAAACCTGGAGTCAAAACAAAATTTGTATCTACGGGTCGACCGAGTTGACCCTTACCAAAGGCCGACCGCGGTCGCCCCGAGAACAGCTCTGCCTACTGGGAAAATTTTTAGTGTCAATTAAGAGGCTCGGACTACTTGGAGAGGACACTAAAGTGGCCACTATTTTCCGTTTTAGTGACCACTTCAGTAGTTTTTCATCCAGAGTTCCTTCCAGTAACTCTGATAATTTTAAAACAAACAGATTGGACCAGTTATGTTGATCCATTGACCCCTAAAGAGGCCACTAAAATTTTTTGCGGTCCAGTAGTAGCACTTAGACCTCTATAGTGGCCCCTAATTTTCAATCCCTTAAGTGGCCGCTAATTTGATCACTATAGTGGCCACTAAAACGTCAAAACCCTATAGTGGCAACTAAAAATTTTCGCAGTAAGAAGATGCTTCTTCTCATACAATTTAAAACAAAAAATGACTAGCATGACCCCTAGAGTGACCACTTTTGCAAGCTTTGGGGCCCCTATAGAGGGAGATGAGGTGGTCTCTAGAGGGGAGCCTACGAGAGCTCTGAAGTATTCCCTTCAGGGACCACTCTAGCGTCTTGAAAAATGACAAAAATTCAGTAATAGCCTTTTCTTCGGCCAAAGCCAAATTCTGAGGCTCAATGACCGAAATTTCCAAGTCATCTTCCAAAAAAAACCAAGGGATTCCTACTTTTAAATTGAAAAATGATAGTTCAGTTTAAAAGAACTTGAACCATCGACATTATATCAAAATTCCCGATATCAATATTTTTAAATTTTGTTGATTTCTAGGACAGTTCTTCATCTGGTCAAAAACCGCCTTCGTATCGACCCATATCGAGGTATTTTATTGTCATTTTCCAAGTGTCCAGTCGAAGATAAGCCTTTGACAGCTTCCAATGATAACAAGGCGAATTTTTTGACAAGTTGGAACGAATTATTATAATTAATTCTAGCGGAATGATGCAATAAGTAATATTTGAAAATGGACTTTCAAAAAACTGCGTTGAAAAAATCTGGTCTTGACGAATCGGAAAATTAGTTTCGAAAGAAAAATTTAAGATGTCTTAGTTTTGAAAGAAAAATTCAAGAGGAAGACTTCATTAGAAGGGTAAATTTTTTTAGTTAGAAAAAAATAAATAATTAAAGTTTTATCGATTTTTGAAATCCTCTACATGTAATTTTAGACTCTGAACAGTCAAATTGGCGTTTCTAAATTATTTTGACCCTAAAATTTGGTTTTTAGGAACTTTTTTTCTAAGCTTCTCCTCTGAAAATCTAAGAAATTTTTCTTTTTCTAGAAAAAAAGAAGCTATGTACTGCCTCATAAGAAAGTGTGACTTTTTAAAAATTTTTTTGAAGCTAAATTTTTTTTTCATGATTTTTAGAGTTCAAAACATGATATAACGCTTTTTTTTTACTAATCTTGAAAATCAGTTAATCCAGGTTTTATACTTTATACTACTTTGCATTCGGTCTTGCTTGTCTAAAATTTTAATACTTTGGAACGCCAGAGTGGTCCCTAGACGGGTTAGAGAAAAACAGCCCCTAACGGGGACAAAATACAGCTCCCTACAGGGTTAGAGTTTGGGTGGTCCCCATAGGATTTTAGGGGGTGACCCTGGGAGTTTAAGTGACCCCTACAGTGATTTTCGAACTTTCTGTACAGATTTGAAGATTTTAGGAAATTTAGTATTTTTCTTAACAATTTTTTCTTACATATTTTATTTCAAAAATTATTTTTATCGATTTTCAATTCACTGACCAGGGAACGTTTTTTACCGCCCCGGTTGAACTTTTGCTGAAACTTTGCTGAAGTGTACTTTAGGACCTCCTGATCACAGAACACGAAAAAAACATTCTCGCGATGGATTTTGTTTCCGAGTTATGGAGCTTCAAATTCCGCAAAGTACGCGATTTAGTACACTTCAGCAAAGTTTCAGCAAAAGTTCAACCGGGGGGTTAAAAAATTTCCCTAGTGAGCATTATTTCTGTTTTCCAATTAAAAATCGGAAGTCACCTTTCTTGGTACCTTTCCTTAATGCTTGCACTCTTAAGATATCCACTTTTTCTGCTCCAATCTCCATATTTCTAATAACCCATAAAGCCTTCTAATTTTACCTCTGCACTACCAGCAGCATCACGTTTTTTTTGTTGATCGCAGGAACCCGCGAAACGGAAACATGTGACTGAAATGAACTAAGGGAGAGAGAAGGGGAGAGAGCGTGGGAATTGGCGGAGGGTGCGAGAGAAAAAGACGGGAGGTCCGACTAGTTTCTGGCCCGTTGCCAGGGCAAGATCTCATCGCTTTTGACGTCGAATTGGAGAATAGGTATTCTGGTAAGGATGGCCTTCGGTGCCAAGGGGGTACTTAAGTGGTGATGGTTTGTCCCTTAAGGGGTTTGGAGAAGGTTTCAGAGAGGAAAAATGTTTTTGAAGTTTTTTTCTTATGCTTCAACTCTACTAGAAGACCGAAGAATAGGTATTTTGGTGAGGATGGCTTTTTGTGCTAAGGGGGCACTTAAGTGGTTTGTAGTTAGTTCGAGAAAAAAAAAATTGTTTTTCTTATGCTGCAACTATAATAGAAAACCGAAGAAAGGATGATTTCTTAGGAAATGACCTTTGCTGCCAAGGGAACACTTAAGTGGTGGAGGCTTGTCTCTTGAGGGGTTTGGAGAAGGTTTCAGAGAAAAAAAATTTCTGAATTTTTTTCTTATGCTTCAACTCTACTGGAAGACCGAAGAAAGGGTAATTTTTTAGGAATGATCTTCTTTGCTAAGGGAACACTTAAGTGGTGGAAGATTGGCACTTGAGGGGTTTATGAAAGTTGGTTCAGAGAAAAGAAAAAAACTTTTTGAAGTTTTTTTCTTATGTTTTTAACTCTATTAGAAAGAGCCAAGAAGAAAAGTGACTTTCTCATGGATGACTTTTTGTTTTCCCAAGGGGACACTTAAGAGGTAGAGATTTTCCGTTTTGAAACTCAAAGTTGATTCAAAATACTCTCAGGAAAAAATTAGGCTCGAAAAAAATTTACTTTTTGATCTTTTCTCTCAATATTCTACAACAATATAGTGACAGAAATATTTTTTTAATCCGTTCAGAGGGACCTTTGTTGCCAAGGGGACACTTAAGTGGTCGAGATTTTCCCCTTGAGTGATCTGAAGAAGGTTTTAGAGAGAAATTTGAGGCCTTCTATAGTGGGAAAAAAAATTTTTTTCGCAAATTATTGTAAATGTGTTTTTTAAGAGCGTAGGGGCGTTCAAAAAAACTTTTATTATTGGAAATTGAAAAATGGAGTAAAATGAATAATTTCTCAAAATTTGCTTTAAACTTTCCGTTCAACTTTAAAATTTGTAGGAAATGCTTTTAGAAAACCAGGAAAAAAATGAGTGAAAAAAATATTTTTTTAAACTCATTCTTCAATGTTTTAAAAATCAACGAAAGAACCAATTACGGTATTTAATGTATCGCTTTGGCAGAAAAAGCTCGGTAAATTCGAAAAATCCGAAGAAAAAAATACTCTCAAAAAGACCTTTTTTATCAATTTTACATCAAGAGTTTTTGAAAACGAGTTTTTTCTCAGTTCCTTGGATTAGGCGCCTAGAAAAGTTGAAATACAATATTTTTAACGTTACAAAAAAATTATTAATAAAGTTACTGAAATATAGATTTATTAAACGAAAGTTTGATTTTTTTGAGCTCGAAACTTTTTTTGTCGTATATCGAAATTTCAAATTCCATTGCTCATAAGGAAAAATGAAAAAAAGAGACTTTTCTCTTCTTTTCAAAAAACGTCCTTTTTCTCCGTTTCTCTGAAGAATTTGCGACCTTCTCCCTTATTTTCCACGGTTTCAGTTTCCACAAAGGGAGGAAAGGAGACAAAAGGTACATCGGCGGAATAAATAATGGGCCGGCTGTTTTTGGAGAAAGACTTGCGCTCTTTTGATAATTGTGATCTTTTTTGGAATGATCAACAGCTTTTCTTGAGGATTTACTTCCTCGAAATAGGCAATCTGTCTTAATGAAATAGGGTAGAAGTTGAGTTTTAAGATATTTTGATACTAGAAGATCTGATTGAATTTTATACAATTTTTTTTTAATCTCAGGAATTTCAACCAATTTAGCCCCTTGATAAACTTCTTTTTCCCATTTTCCAAAGTCAAAGTCAATTTCGAAATTACGAGTAGTGTTCACATTACCTGTTCAATAACAGAGAAATCATCCAATTTTGGTCAAAATCGTCGAAAATTCGGCGGAGGTCGCAAATTGCGCCGCTGCAATTGTCAGGTTTTTCGCGCACCAATCTTTTTTCCCCGTTCTTTTTTTTGTTTGAAGGAAGTAATTGATACCAAGTGGTCACTTGAGGGTTCAAGCCTTGTTTTTTTTTCTTGAAGCGGGAAAGTGAGTTAACAATTTTTGGCTTTTAAACTGGATTATTTTTTGTATTTTGCTGTAAATATCGAGGGAGTTTTTTTTTACAAAGTGGTCACTTGAGGGACAATG